CCTCAGTCCTGATCCAGTTGGGCCCCATAACTTCATTTCTCAGTGGATGGGTTAATTGTTAACACTCTGTTGTATGGAAACTTTGCATTATCTGAGTGCGTAACATGAAGTGCGTACATGGCTGCAACCTATTTACCCCATAACATTTCTCTCCAGCTGTTGCATGCAGTCATAAACAGTATTACTGTGGGAAATCTGCAGTGCTTTTACATGGCAACGCGAGGTTTGGCAAAATGACAGCATGTGGCTTACTGCAGGATGGCGGAAAGCAAAAACTCCACATGCATGAAAAAGCTCATTTCCTTTGACTGCAACTGAACGAGCGTTAACAGGCTTTTAGAAGAGGAAATAGGCAGTAGATGTCAAATGTGCCTGCCAGCACTTTTATTATCCTGCCTTGCAAGTGAGTGGTGGACTTGGCTCAAGGTCATCCAAAGATTTCACAGCAAATCATTCCTCCAAAGACCTCCTCGGTTATCTCACTTCGCCAAACAGCTGTTCTGCGACCACAAGGGACGGGTGAGAGAAGAGCTCCAGGATGGGAGAGATTAATCAAACACGAGAGGCACGGAGACGGGAAAACACGGCGACAGAGGGAGGACGGGCAGGGGAGCACCGAGAGAGGCCAGTCTGTCCACACTCGCCTGATTGTGTCTGTGGCCAGCAGCAAGAGGAGGACGGTGGGAGGAATAAAACAATTAACATGAACAGCTCTCCGGGGAATGTCGGTTACCTTGGCGACAGTCGGCAAAAGCCAAACAGACGGGTCTTTTCATAACATTTCAAAACAAACAGACATGTCTCTCATATTAGCACTCTGGCTCTGGTAAGATGGAAGCATCCCCTCCAGTCAAAGGAAGAAAAAAAAAAAAACAAGAAATTAATTCTTCTTTAGAAAGGATCAAATCAGCTGATCTGAGGAATGTGCTTCTGATTAGACCCAGGAGAATAACAGCAAAAAGGTTCAATTATGAGTTTTTATTCAGCCCACTTTTTAGACATGGTCCAAGTGTGTAAACGACCGCTAGCTAATTTGTAGAGCTGCGCTGTAGGATGGGTGTGGCTCTTTTCTTTTTCATTCTCAGCAGTGTTTGATGAGCCAGCAGGTCCGCCCTGTGTTCTGGCAAAGGTGCTGATCCGTAATCAGTTACAGAAGACCCTGAACAATGTTTCTGAATTATATGTGCTTCCTTGCCAAAAACCATTAAAAAAAAGTAATAAAACGTTTTCTTCTTTGCAACTGCAATGTGAGCAGCTTTACCTTTGAACAGTTGTTGTTTAAATGCCACAGTATAGGCAGTATATGTGGTCTCCATATTGCTGTAACTTAGGGGGGGAAAAAATCTGTTACATGGTATCACAGGTAAAAATGAGATTCCAACAACTTCACATCGAGTGCTGCAAGGATTTGATGAATATGACAACATCTGGTCATGCAAAGTGAACTGAAGGACTGCGCTTGTCTTCCTCTGAGGAGGTTCTGCATTGAAAACAGACGTGTTCCTTATTACAATCACTCCAAACAGCTCAAAAGTCCTCTAAACATTATCCACAGAGTCGTTGCTGCATCTACAAATCCTCCCAAAACATATGCACCATGCTAAAGCACAAACATGCAAACAAGATCCAGAATGCCTCCTCCTTGGTGGGACTTAAACAGATTGCAGGGGATTACAGTGAAATGGAAAACAAGGATCATAATCATGGACAGAAGCAACGAGGGTCTATGGTCGTTTGTGGATCTTGTTGCCTTCGTAACGTAAAACGCTGAAGGCGCCGTTGGTGACAAAAACAGCAACATCTCAAAATTACTGCCAAACTTTGTAGAGATGTAGAAAACTATCTGAAATATCCTCGTTCCTTTCACTGCGACAGGATGACCTCACGCTGAAAAGGCCTCTGAAGTAAACAGAAATAAAACTTCTAGCCAGTCTTCATAATAGAGAACATATCATTAAATAACGGCAACTGCGGGTTAATCTTCATTCATTAGCTCGTCTCTGAAGAATAAGATAAACAGGTTGGTACTTAATGCACGGTGTAATTTACAGATATGAAGGGAGATTTAACCCTCATGCCTTCCAAATTCAGGAAGTCCCTTACAGAAGTAAACAGTAACAGACGTCCAGTTTTGCATCCTGCAAATTGTTCTCAAAAAGGCCATAGAAACTATTTACTCAAGACCAGACCAGGTAATGTCTGTATGTTGTCAAAACAACCAAAATGTGCTAATATGTGTATTTGTGAGTTTCTACTTAGATTTGTTTTTAAGGCCAGGTACTGTTATTCTCCATTCTTTGCTCAATGTATGGATAAATACATTAATCATTAACACTATGCAGGGAAAAAAACAGAAAAGATGTTACCCAGGGCAATCTGTTAATCTTCTTTCTGGTATTACTGGTGTTGGCCTGATCCAATGGGATCATTAATGGGATCATCACAGGATGATTCCATTGGATCTAGAATTGGCCCAATTGGATCATAGGGATGAATTATGTTTCTCTTCCTGATTTTCACAGTTTTCCTCCAGAACAGCTTGGATGGGATCCCTTGTGCTCTATATAGATGTTAAAAAATGTCAAATCTTTGGGAAATTATAATACTTTATTTTCCTAAACTATGTCCCTGCATTATAGAAATCCCCGCCCCCTTTCATTGTCAGTGTAATTTGCACCCTAGTAGGAAGGAAGGTTACAAAATGCCATGTTGTTTCAGAACATGTCTCCCTACAGAAAGTCTCCCTACTAAACACTTTGCTTTTCAACAGATCTGTCTTTTTTTCTCTTTGAATAACAGATTTCTCAAATGCAGCTTTACTGTATTTGCAATGTTTAATCTGTATTTTGCTTTCCACGAGCATGCAAAGCCAAGTTCTCAAACGTATCCTTGAACACCCTGCGAAAGTGTTAGGATGGGTGGAGACTTGGGCATCCATTAGGGCCTGGCTCACTTCCAGCAGCCCTCTTGTTATTTCCTCTGCTCTCCCTTTCTCTCTGCTGGCAGTTCTTCCTACTGAAATCATTAGATAGAACAGTATCCACTGACGGCCTGCATATTTTCAGCCTGGGTGGTTCAAGTGGAAACACTTCCAACACTGGCATTGGAATCCCTCTTTGCCCACATCCAACATTCCCAACAGCAACAGGGCCACTGTGACACCGATGACATAAATTGCACCACTTCAGATTCTGGAGGTTTGGAGAAATATCCGCAATGCACATGGCAGAGCAAACCAGGCGAAGCCTTTGTTTGGCACTAAACAAAATGAGGATGTACAATAATGACCAACAACGTCCAAGTCCGATTGGAAACCGCTCGTATTTTTGCGTTACTTTTGGGAAATTTGACCAGATGCGGACATATTTGCCTCATGGATTTTGGAGTCTCATTTTAGAGATGAGTCACTTACAGATAATACAGCATCTCAAATTTTCCTTCAAACACATTCAAAAGCTTGGATATCATTTTCCATCCTCCTCTGTGCAGCTTTACAGTCCCTCCCTTCCTCTTCAGCTCTGGCAGAGGGCTCGGTCCAGCTGTTCGGTCAGCGGATCTCGATTTGAAAAGAAAAGCCTTCAAATGCACAACTTGAAAACCAGTGCAGAACCTCTAGAAGACATCCAGTTTATCAGTGTTGTCTTATGCAATAACAGCACTTTAGATGGTATATTTTGAACATTTACATCAATTCATTCTAATGAATACAGACACAAAAAAACTCTCGTTCAAAATGTTTGAATCAAAATGTTTGAAAAATCACACAGGACTGTCTAAAAGGATGTTAGTATGGAGATGTTGTGGCCTACACCAAGGATGTCAAACTAATTTTTAATTTGGGCCGTATCAAAAACCTGAATGTTCCTAGGCGGGTGTGTCAAAAATAAATGAATAAAACCAATTAAATTGTTTAAATATCAATAAATTGCTGTTCCTTCAGGATATTGTGACCATTTTAGTGATTTTTTTTAATCAAAATTGCAAGTTCTGTGGTGCCAATTTAGAAATGTTTGTTAGAATTTTTACAATGTTTGCGCTAATGTATGATGTTAAATGTAACTTTTGATTACTCAATGTTTTTAACCAATTTTAAGAAAATTAGAAGAAAAAAAATTTGATTTGTTGATTTTGTGTGAATTTTGTAGATTTGTGAAAAACTGGGCCACATAAGAAGCTACGCGGGCCAGATTTGGCCCCCGGGAATTGAGTTTGACATATGCGGCCTACAATCACAAAGAAGCCTGCTGACTCAGCAGTCCTGCAGCAGAATGACGTCCACAAGGAGAGGTGTGACGTCTCCTTTGGAAGCAGAAGCTGGCTTTTTGGAGAGCATATTTACGGAAAATTCAGAGGGAACAAAGAGTGTAACTGAAAAAAAAAAAAAAAAAAAAAAAAAATATATATATATATATATATATATATATATATATATATATTTATTTTTTATTTTATTTTTTTATTTTTTATTTTATTTTAAGACATAGATATAAGGCTGCACCACAGTCTTAGCATTGTGAAAAAAAAAAAAAAACAATTTGGAAATGTTTTGTTTAAGAAATAATAATAATAATAATAATAATAATAATAATAATAATAATAATAATAATAATAATAATAATAATAATAATAATTACACAAACATTCCGCTTTCATTGTCAAGACAGTTTTTATTTTAATATTAATTACCAAGAACAAATTAAATTTCATCAATGCCTATCATATCAGCCCTACTTTGGGGGGAAAGAGTCAAAAGCAAATGAATATTTTGATAATATTCAAACTTAAGATTCACTCGAAAACCTTTTTTTTTTTTTTTTTGCATGACGAAAACCACCAGCATGCACAATTTGGTGAAGCTGGGCTCAGAACCAGGACGCCTCCTCTGCTCCGTGCAGCAGCGACGTGATGTCACATGACGACACTGGGCTCTGCGCCGCGCGCTCTGGATCCCGGTCGGCGGATGTGACTCTGTGGATCAGGCAGGCTGCAGATCCTCCTCCAGCAGCGCGCGGTGATCCCGCTCATTCGCTCTGGACGGAGCTGCGCGTTGCGGAGCGGATCACGTTAGTAGGACTCTGCATGAAACTCCGACGTCTCAGTTAAACAAGGCGACTTAAATAATAATAACAAAAAATATATATAATAATAATTTCGGAGACACCGCCGGGTTTTGTTTTATTGGAGTGTCCACCTGAGGCTCACCTGCAGCGGCAGGATCATGCGCTCCAAGGCTGCGCTTCCCCGGTAAGTCACACGGCAGTGATGGAGATGTGCGTAATGAAAGGATGGGTACGGAGAATTAAACTCGTCGAAAGAAGAAAAAAACGACAGAAGAATAGTTTACAAATGAAATAATAGCAGACAATAGCAGCGCGCTTGTTCTGGTCGTTATAAACTTTATAGGTTGTAAGAAGCAAAAGGGGAAAAAGAAGGACTGAATGTGAATTTTAAAACTCTGAGCCATGCATTGTGTCCCACTGATCCGTTTACAACATCCCACCCTCCTCCTCTGTTCTCCCTGCAACATGCTTCAGCTGCTCTTTATGGTTTAAGGTCAGTCCCTCAGGCCAGTTCAGGAATTTTCCCCTCAGAGAGCCGATCTTCTCCTTGTTTGTCGGGTTTGCTGCGTTGCAAACAGTGGAAAGTTACAGCTGCATCTCAGATCAGAATTCCTCAAGATTAAAAGCCCTCCCTCAACTCTCATGCATGTAATTAAAAATGTATGATGGAGGCTTCAGGAATGAGGATGTTTGATAAGAGGGGGGGTCCAGACATCCGGTCACAGTTAATCGCTTGTGTCTTGTAGAAATATTTACTGTGTCGTTGTACTTTTTGTTTTTCACAACGTGATTCACACGCTCTCTGCTTCTTCACATCCACACAGGTTGGCCTCCCTTCTGTGTCTCCTTCTCCTTCCCTCGGTTTTGTCCTCCTCCCCTCGGCGTCAGTGGATTCTCCAGCGTATCCCTGTGGTCCTGCCCCAGCAGACGGAGGCTCGACCGACGCCGCAGTTTCTGAATGAGGCACGCCTGGACGTCGCTTCCCCCTGCGACCCGGAATGCCACAAGAAAGCCCCTCGTCCCAGCTACTGGGATTTGCGGAGCCTTCTGGCCTATGAGACTCTAAACTCTAACGGCCAACTCACTGAGACCGCCATTGGGATTTATGGCTACAATCCCTACTCCAATACCAGTCCTGCTTACTCCTCTGGTTCCTCTGGTAAGGCAGAGCGGTCACATGTCAGAAGAAAACGACAGATATTTGGACATGATGGTCGTTTTAGTATTGCAGGGCAGAACTTCCTGCTTAAGTACCCGTTCTCAGTGGCTGTCAAACTGTCCACTGGATGTTCTGGTACACTGGTGGGGGACCGTCATGTTCTCACCGCTGCCCACTGTGTTCACGATGGCAAAAACTACGTGAAAGGAGCTCAGAGGCTTCGGGTGGGCTTTTTGAAACCAAAGCAACGGGATGTACAACATTCACCTGTTTACTTTCCCTCTAACTTTACCAACCACGTAGAGGGAGGCCCAGATCAGTACGCCCCACCTGCCAATGACAAAATGAAGTTCCAGTGGATCAGAGCCAAGCGCACCCACGTTCCCAAAGGTTGGATTAAAGGCAACGCCAATGACATCGGGATGGACTACGACTATGCTTTGCTGGAGCTGAAAAAGCCTCACAAACGCCGCCACATGAAGCTCGGGGTCAGCCCCCCAGCTCAGAGGCTTCCCGGCCGTCGTGTCCACTTCTCAGGATTTGACAATGACCGCCCTGGACAGCTGGTGTATCGGTTCTGTCGGGCAGGCGAGGAGACGTCGGACTTGCTGTACCAGCACTGCGACGCTCAGCCTGGGGCCAGCGGCTCTGGAGTCTACGCCCGGATGTGGGACGGGCGGCGGCGGCGTTGGGAGCGCAAGGTGATAGGTGTGTTCTCCGGGCACCAGTGGGTGGAGAAGAAAGGGACATCTCAGGAGTTTAACGTGGCAGTCAGAATCACACCTCTTAAATATGCACAGATCTGCTACTGGATTAAAGGAAACTTTGTGGATTGCAGAGAGGGGTGAAGGGAAAAATAAAAAATAAACGTACAGAGGACTGCACAGGGCTGTAGCTGCAAAAAGAACTGTGCCAATCTCGAGAAACCTTTTCGCATGTTGTGACGTTACAACCACAAATACAAGAATGGTGCAGTTTTAAAAATGAATCTCTAAAAAAATATATATATATAATGTGACATAAATGTATTCAGCCCCTCTGACTCAATCCTTTATTACAGTTACAGATGCAGCAGAGATTTGGGTCATTACCAGCTTAGCAAATCTAGGCACAGAAAATATTGACTCTTCTTTAATAAAATAAGTCATATTGGGACTAAAATTTGACAGGACCAATCAAACAGATACATATCCTTAGATTTAACATATGGTTACTGCTATACATGGCTCTCCCTCCAGGGCGTCATTAGCATTCAAAAAAAGTTGTCAGCTGCAAAGTTGTACTCCAAAAGTTTTGTTCTACTTAACCGCGTGTCTCGTCAATGTGAAATCAACCTCTATCCACAGCTCAACCCTTGCATTTTGCATTGATTTTGCATTTTGCATTAATTGAGCACTTAGAAAATATCTGTGCTCCAGATGATTCTGGTTTGATCATCCCATCTATAAAATTCAGAATATGTTTAGGTTTTTGTTGGACCATCTACAAAATTCTTCTTGTGAAGCAACAAACTCATAAGTATATTTTAGTGTTTCTGATAAGTGCATCACGTTTTCTTTCCACTTTGTTGTTTATTTAGAAGGTGGGGGTGTTTATGTGAAGTGGCTGTGGTAAAATCAAAATGGTTAATCCAGGGGGGCGTTTATGTTTTGGTGAACCTCTTTGCCCAACTTGACGTTTCTCCAGTGTTGCCCAGTGTTGAGCTCCAAGCTTCGCTGCACTGCTGAGAAACAGAGGCTGCCACCTCCTTGTTTCATGGTGGGGGGTTTTGTTTTCAGGGTAATTTAGCAAAATAGTTTTCAACCGCCAATTTTCCAAGAAAGTTACATTTCAGCCTCATCCAACCAGAAAACTTTCTTCGTTAGCCGTCTTTTATACACGACTCATGGCAAGAATAGCTTCCATTGTCTCACTTTCTGGAATGCTATGCTAATAGTTGTCCTATCAACAGCAATCTCCTACCTGTTCTCTGGATGTTTGTAATTTCTACAGCGGCGCCCCTGGCATCTTGATTGCCTTATTATAGTTCTCGCACCATATATGTTTGCACTGTTTCCATATGTTTTTAAAATATTGAATTTAACTTTATGGATTTAACAATTTTATGAGGTGTTCAAAGCCTGGGATATGCTTTTATAAGCTAACCTTTATAAACACCTCCGTAACTTTTCCCCAGTCTGATCCGCTGTGTTCTTTGTGTCTTTCTTGATGTTTTAATCACGTTCTCTTAGCAAACCTCCGAGGCTTTGACTGAACACCTGTTTCTAAGCAGAGATTACGCCAAACACAGCTTGACTGATTTTTTTTTTCAGATTATTTTTATTTCTGGGGCCATTTTTTTTCTAATTGTTTTTTGGGGCATCAGAGTGATGGGGCTGAATACATAGGCAAAGCACACATTTTAGTTTTTTTCTTTTTTCAAAAGGTTTTGAGAAAAATGCATCTTTTTACTCCTCCATAACAATGAGTTTACTCTGTTGGTGATAAGAAAATCCCGGTTAAATACATTGAGGTTTGTGATTGTAACGTGACAACATGAACAATTCAAGCAATACGGATACTTTTGCGAGCCGATGCGTTTATCACCACTGTATGTTCAACACCGACATGGTGAAACAAATCATCTTCATGGTTTTGTCCCATTTCGGGGGCTGTAAAGAAAGCAATCAAAGCCCTTGGTCATGACAAACTGTTCAAACCTTTTATTGTTGTGGTCATCATTGCACCTTCATTTACGCCTCTGAAGCCCTACATACTTTCAAAGATTGTATTTGTGTTTTTTTAAAAGATGATTGTGAATAATCAAAGCATCTGTCAGCTTTTGTGATGTGAAATGCAAGCCGATGGAGAGGACACGTCTTCCTTTTGTTGCAGTTATGTTGAGTAAGAATGCACTGTCAAGACTTCTACTGAAAATCAGACCTGTGGATGAATGTACATGTCAGCGAAGCCAAAGTTGTAAACTGCATTTTGCACCTTCTCCTAGTTGACATCAAAGTTAACCAGCAAGCATACATTATTTTCAATGCTAATGGAGTCTAATAAATGAATCTTTATTTTACAGGATGACTAGTAGAAGCTTGTTTCATGTGGGCCATGAGTTACTGGAGCTTGTTGTATGGCGTCATCTCGTGGCGAGATAAAGTACTGCATGCACCCGCAAATTTTGCCTCGTCAGCTCAGATGAGTCTTGTGATGAGTCTTGTGCTTTTCTAAAAAAATCAAAGACTACAAAAATGTAATATAGAAGATCCTTAAGATAAAAAAAAAAATAAATAAATTATATATATATTCCTTTGTCTTTGCACAGAAAAAAACTCAACTGGTTTGAACATATTTACTTTATTTCAGGTGTCAGAATATCCAGAAAGGATTTGCGGAAGCTGAATACTGTCAAAAGCTGAGATATGAGGATCGGGTCCTAGAACTTCACCAGCAGTGACACACTGAACAGCCGGGAATCTGAACCTGGATCCAGGGATTTGGCACACTGAAACCAAAATAGAATCCCCCAGCCCCCCAAAAAATCTTATTTTCAGTTTGAATCAATTGAGTCGCATTATAATTTTTGTAAAATTTTATGTAAACTCATATAAGATCAATACATTTCACAGCAATGGGATCAAAAGCTGAACATGTAATCGGTCAACATACAGACTGATCGCTTTTTCTTTTTTCGACCTACTTTGGAGTTGCCAATTGGAAGGGAGTGAAGATGAAGCACTTAAGTAAACTAAACGGATGCAGAACCTAAAATCCTGAAACAATGTTATGCAGTTATGGGCGAGTGAAAAGATGGGAGAACCACAACATTCAAAACCAATATTTCAAATCGCTGTGCTCTTAAGGCTGCTTTTAATCAGCTGCACAAACATGCAATCTCAACAGAACCATTTCGTTGGTGATATTCACTACATTCGTGTGAAAAATGTGAAACACATAAAGCACCAATGAGCAAACCTAAGAAGAAAACTGGCACTTGTATTTTGCATGAAGTTTAACCGAAGATCCAGGAGTTTCATTTGTCTCGATGCTGAAACTAATGAAGGTGTTAAGAGTCGGAGCTCAAACAGAAAAGGCAATAAAGAATATGAGGCAGCTCAATGAGTGAGACTAAAGAGAAAGTGACCTTTGTTTGGAAACTTTGCATATAGGAACTGGAAATGTTAGAAGTGTATTTTCTGCCAGCTTTCACCCCCAACCCAACAGTAGCTTCTGGTAACTCCAGATCAGTGAGTGATGACAGCTTTTTCATGTTACAGTGGAAACGGGCTCTGGCATAGCCAAGAATATCTCTTTATTCGCCACATTCTCTTCATTTTCTCCACTCTAACCCAACAAAACAGCTAAACTGGACATATTGCCGTTACAAGTTGTATTATCCTCCCATTTAATTACCGTTCAGGAGTCAAAGTGTCGTGGAATCAACCTATGAAACAGAAACTTACAGTGCCACAGAAGGTTGAATTTAGAAAGTAGAAATTAGGTCATAGTTTTGATCTAAATAATGCATCTGTTGACTGTACGCTCTCCTCAACACCTCCACGCCGTGTGAGAGCAGTTTGGCCGCAGGCGGAGCTGCAGCTGATGTGAACAGAGGGGAAACAAACATTTGGCGCAGTTCAATCAAGTTACTTTTTTTTTGTAGACTTCTAGGATCAGTTTGCCTCCAGTTGTACTTATTTCGATATTGCTGACATAACCAAACAAAACTACTAAAACAACCTGCTTTCAGAATAGTTTGTCATTTTGAAATGTATATATTTTTGGTTATAGTCGGATGAAAAGTCACTCACGTTCGTGTGGCTGAGTTATTCAAATAAAACATGAAAAAGCCACGTTACAGCTGCATACTTCAGCTTTATTTGGATTAAACTAAGGAATTTAGTTATGATCCCAACAAAAACAAAACAAGTGACCTTTCCCATCCAACTCCGCCAATGAGAACATTCAGGCAAAATTAGAAACCACTTTAAAAGCAAAATCTAAGAGTTGCCATAAATTGCAGCATTTATGCTGAAATGATCAAACCGGTTGCCTCCCTAAACACTGGCTGCCTGCAGAGAAAAGAGTCTGGGTTGAAGCAAAAATAATAATAATAATAATAAGAAACAACCACAATCTGGATCTCAGGCACAAATCCTTCCTCTCATCTGGAGTTCCTCACTTTATTAACAGTTTAGGGCCACATCTGATGTGTGATTGGCCGCTTGCACTTGAAGCATCTTTGGTGAAAGTCACCCCCAGGCATTCCCTGACTTCCCTGTCGTCTGGCAACAACGTAACAACATGCTAATGTCAGAGCGGTAATGCCCGGTGTAACACGAAATAGTATACAAAATAAAAATATTCTTTTAAATAGGCATATACAAACATCGCATTAAAAATAGAACCGTATCAAAAACACAGTTATGAGTTCACAGTCTGCACCCCCTCCGGCCCACAGCTCCACATCCAGAGTTTGTAGGTGAGGTTTTGTTGTCCTTTACTGCGACTTGAGCCCCGAACTGCTGGAGGACAGAGGGTAGGAGTAGGCTTTGCCCAGCACAATGCGATCTCGAAGAAGTTTAAAAAGCACGTAATAGTTGCAGAGGAGAATAAGGCCCAGCGACAGCGTGTGGTTCCAGCGCTCAGAGCGCAGCAGAGAGTATAACTGGTACAAAACCACGCTGGACTCGATCCCGATCAGCAGGTTCAAGATCCGCAATGGCTTATGAAACAGGAACTGCAAGGACACAGAGGAGAATTGAGAATAAAAATTAGCTTTGGATTTACTGGGTCAAAATAACCGAGGGCTTAACAATTTTCATTTCAACATTAAGATGAGTATCTCATAAAGCGGACATTTTTGTGCTGCATCTATATTCACAGGCAATTATTGGTGAGGAGGGGAGAGTTTTTCTAAACTACGGTGTGTTCATGCAGACCAGGCATAGATTTGTAAAAGCAATGAAGTGACGACACGCTCCCTGCATGCTAGCTCACGCTTTCTGTTCTGGGACTACAAGATCAAGAGAGTGGAGTGTTTCAATATCGGCATTGCTTTGTCCCGACCAGGACGGCGTTAAACTTCCCATGCTAGTGGAAAATGTATCGGCTCAGAGGAGATGATAGACTGTCAAACAAAACTGTTTTACAAGAGCCCTTCCAACGTTGTCAAAGTTTCCGCTTGTCACATAATTAACATTCTGTCAGACATCAACTCAACATTGATGAAAATAAATGGTTTCATTTTAGATGAACTTATTTTTTTAAATACACAGTTATTTCCCCTTTGTTGTTAAGCAGGGTCATAATTTGAAGGCTGCGGTCTGTCGTGTGGGTGAAGTTTTATTTGTATTTCATAATCTCTTCATTGTGAAAACTTCTTTCACTGGAGAAGCATTCGACAGAGTGCATGCACCAATGTGCAGAAGCTGCAGATCTTGCTGCAGCTTTATTCCCATTTTCTGAATATTTGTTACCCCTTCTCTCTCCTTTGTGTATAATCAACTAAAACGTCCAGAAAACGAAACAAATAAAACTTGTACTGGACATTCAGCACTGTTGAACGTATTTTTCACTTTGCAGATTTCTTCTGACTCACAGAAGTTGTTGCACTAACAAAAGCAGAACCTATCCACTTTCTTCAGTTCCCATCACAAATATTGATAAATTGTAAGGCAGAAATTAAACATGTTTATGGCTCCATCCACTTGCCACTTGAAAAAAAGATATGCAATTAAACTGGCTTTACATAGTCACATTAGGGAAATTCATTACCCTAAATACTCTATTATTAAAAAAAGAGGAACTGGTAAAATAAATAGGATTTTTAATTAACTTTGTACCTTCTCCGATTACCTTACAGTTAAAAACTCGTTGGAGGAAGTTAAAGAGTTGCACACATTCAGGTTTTTGTGGTTATGTTCATGCAAATAAAAGGCCACATTTTCATCAAGATCAAATGCTGGCCGAATATAAAACTACAAAACACCAATTCTCACTTCCCCATTTCAGTTTTATTTTTCCAAATATGTAACTTTGTCCGACTAAACAAAATGAGATACTCACATAAAACCTTGCATGGGAAACGTCGGAGGGAAGCGCAACATTATAGGATCCTACAGCCTTGTATAGACATCGACTGTGTCGTACCAACACCCCCTGAGGCCAAACAGTGCTTTCTGACCACCTGAAAGACACAAACATCACACAAACCACAAACATCAGCTTCATTTGTCTCTGTGAGAACAACGCTGTGTGTGTGTGTGTGTGTGTGTGTGCGTGCGTATGTTGGACACGTACACATGCTGAGGTGTGTTACTGTATGAACCGTGCTCCAGTTTCTGCCAGCGGCCCAGGTGAGCCGCCGAGCGATGGAGCAAGTCGCAGTAGCTGGGAGGCAGCAGTTGGCTCATCAGCATCACAAAGGCGTTGATCCACACCATAATCAGATGCTCACAAGACCAGCGCATGTCGTAGTACTGTGTACTCTGTTGGCAGGAAGGGAATGAGATCAGGCTGAACTTGGCCAAAAATGAAGGTAGTTATTGAACAAACTGAAGGCTGGGTATGAAGCGGATGAAAGGACTTTAATGTCAAGAAAACACCAACCTTGACAAAGCAGAGAGGCAAGAAGGCTACATAGTAAGCACTGAACAGTGAGTTGAATAGCACTTCTTTGATCCGCCGGTTAAAGTCGCTTTTCAGCTCCTCCACTTCTGCCCGAATCAGCTCGGGCGTGTCCGAGTGTATGTGCTGCGGGCAGGTGTGAGTGGGCATGTGTGGTGGGCTGGAGAACTGTTCTCTGATGTTCTCCCGCAAGAGGAAGAGGAAGTCGCGAGGTCGGAAGAGCTGGGACTCTGTGAGGTCGGCCTGCTGGTGTTCGGCGGGGTATTCGCAGTCAGATCCCGGCGCTTGGCTTTTCCCTCCTTCCTGATGGAAGCAGCAGAGTGGGACGTACACACCGAATCTGAAGAGGACAGCGAGTGAAGCGAGAGGGGAAAACAGAGAAAGAACGGGATTCACATTATGTGTAACGTGAACACATCATGCATCTTTTAAATGTTGAGAGGCACCAAGAGAGAGCAAATCGCATTTTCTGGTTCCATTAGCACATTAAGCAGAAAGACTCCCTGGCATTATTGAACTGTTGTGGGTATGCACATCAATTAGCAGCTTTGTAAATCTTTCCTTGCAAAAGCTTTCTGATGAAGATACATTTTGACTAGCAATGGAAATCTATCAGATGCAACTGTAAAAATATGCTTTGTCTTGCTTAGGTAAGTGCTTAAAGGACAGTAATGGGAACAGCGCTGGATAGAAATCTTGTTCCAAGTAAACTAATCCAGTTCAGGCTTTACCAAAGTATTTTAGATTCTGGACTGAAGGTAGACGCGTGTAATTAATCACGTAATGAGTTAAAACAAGCTGAATAATTTCCATTTACATAATTTATCGTTTTCTCATCTCACTGTTTCTACCAAAAACTGGATGACAAAAGTCTTCAGTCTGGTGCCTTGGTCTCAACTAGACCTTTGTGTGAAGGAAAAATTTGTTTACTGATGCTGCATAATTATTTTTGTTGTTTCTGTTGCAATAACAAATTTGGGATGATTAAAATGTCTTCCAGTTCTAGGGTCAAATGTTCATTAGAATTTCAAGTAATTGATTTTTGAGAATGAGTTCCTGGATTATGATCCCATTACTATTGTCTTACTTCTAAAACAACAGTATTATCATGTATAATTTATAATATCAATAACTTCTGGGACAATTTATCATCCGGCAAATTTTGTTGTGATGACAGCGCACACTTCCACCGGTGGAAGTGTGTGGGAGCGGGGTGCGCTGTGAGGGGGAGCTTTGTGAAAATAGGCTCTGTTTTGAACGAGCAAGCACTGAAGGGCAAGAGATTAAAGGATTCTTCAAACACGTAAGAAAGAATCAAAGCAACACTTGCAGGTTTTCAATCAGGGAGTAACATTATAACATGATAGTCTGACGGCAGACTTTCTAACTTTACCTCCCAAGATTCAGTATATGTATAAATGTCTGAAGTGACATATTAGACAAGCACAGCGCTCTGGACAGCGATCTGCTCTGAGGACTCACGGGTATCCCAGGAACAGAAGGTTGAGGACAGAGTGGTTCCTGCACAGGTTGACCAGCGTCCAGCAGAGCACCCAGCCGCACATGGTCAGCAGGCTGAGCCGCGCTGTAATAAGTATTATGTAACGGAACAGGGACCCTCCACTGCTATGAGACACCTGAAAAACAGAAAATACTACTTTGCAATCATCGAGGTACATTTTGCAGCTTTTGGATTAGAGCGCCAGCCAGTACATTTACCTCTGACACGATGGTCCAAACAAGCCTCCTGGCCAACATGACAGTGATGAAGATAGCCAGGTGGTAGTCCATTAGATGAAAGTTCTACAAGGACAACAGAGGTTGTTTAAAAAAAAAAACTTTTCCTGCTCATCTTTGTTGTTCTGCATTAACTGAAATGATGTCTGCGTAATCTCACGAGTGAGGTAGAGGCAGCCGGATGACTGTAGGGGTACCACCACACCGTCCTGTAGATGTTGATGTACTGGACGAATAAAGCAACCAACAGGTAGAGAAAGAGCAGGAACTCAAACAGGAAGCTGCTGTCCAACGGCAGCTCTGGGATCCGCGAGTGACGGACCAGCTCCGGAGTGATGAGAGTAGAAATGGGTGGAGCAGACAGACCCACCGAGTTACTGCTTCTGAAAGAAGTCCAAGTAAACAATGAATTTCAGTTGAATAACAGCTGCAGTGAACTGTAGAGACTAAAACTCCCCAAAACATTTAGCTACATTTCACTTTCTCACAAACAGTGAAAGAAAACAAATGAAATACTAGAAAAATGAGGTGATTTAATAATCCTCACAGCGTCATTTAGACATGCCTGAAAAAGTAATGAAATGCTCTGTGAAAGCAGCATTAACCATGTGTGTGACATGTACATTTTTGTTAAAAGGAAATAATACATCCTTACAGAATTGAGGGTTTATTTAAATGTTTCATAATCATCATTTAAATGAGCATGAAAGGATTTATATGGCAGATAACAAAAAATGAAAAGTACCAAGTTCAGTAAATGTATCAATCAAGAGTTATTTCATAACAAAAATCTAAAAAAAATTTTGTCAATTGTCTGGCTTTCTTTTTATGAGATTTGAAAACAGAATCTTGACCTTGAACTTGCTTGAAAAGCAGTTGGATGACTGAAAAATGAAATTTGGTGTCAGATTTTCAATGTGGTGAGCGACTTCACTTCTTTTGTGACATTCTGACTGATTTAGTTGGTCTGTTGTTACCTTGAAACCTACTGCACACCTTCTCATGACCCTGACAACAACACATTTAATATTTGAAACAAATCTGCAACTTCAGGAGGATCCTGGATAGTTTGATCCCATTCTGGTGGAAAGTGATCTTCATATCCAGGACCTCAAGGTCTGGTTAGGTCTGGTTAGATGCGTCTAAACGTTCTGCAACTTTTAGATGCGCCACCGCTTCTACGCAGTTAAGTCAAATAATGAGGCCATCGCCAGGACTCTGGAAAATTTGACTCCATACAGGTGGTGATTCATCGATGTGATTCAGGTGTGTTGGAGCAGGGATGCAGCTAAAAGGCACCAGAGGTTGAGGCCTGGATGTGAAGCCCAGAGTTAATTTGACAACTTCTCCATTTGCCCTCATAGTTGGATTGACAGAAAAAACTTGGCTTGATTCATTTACAAAGTGGGTAGAAATCACCATGAGATTGTGACTAATTACTTCTCAAGAATAATGTTACCTGGTCAAACAAGTTCAACTGACAACACAATATTGAAAAGAATGTCTGAACTTATCATATGAAAGCTGCATGTATTAAAACTAACATAATCTGTAAAACATACAAATTATATCCAAGTTATACCGGGTAAGACTAAACTCTGGAATGGAGAAATTTGGTTTAGTAATTTCTCCATTTGCATAATGGCGGACCTACTTTTGGTGGCCGACCAAAGCGGGTAACTGTGCAAAGGTTTGACAAGCAGAGCATTTAAAATGGGGAGAGACAGGAGAAGGAACTTCCATTAAGAAGTCTTGATAGAAACTCAACGATGCAGCGACCGTCCCGACACATCTGTAGCTGCTGAAACACTATCAACACATGCAACGCTTCAAATGTGGAAGAGACTTATTAGGCAGGGCCTGAGGGATTATTCAAAACCCATCCTCTTATCTGATTCGTAGTTAAAAGAAAAAGATGTCAAGTTGTTGATGCCACTGATCTACTTCATAACTTCTTTCAGCAGGAGGAAAATTGTAGGTTTTAATATTTTTTCTTTGCAGTTGTGAAAATTTTAAATCAGAATTTTGTAAAACCAGACAGCTTGTTTATTTTGTCTTTAATAATCAATTGAATATTATTAAAGCTCTTTAATTTATTTTCCTGCAAAAAAAAGTCCTTCTTTCAACACAGCAAACACTGCCTTTACACAGTTTGTGCTTTTATGCCTTTTTCTCCACTTATTGACGATGTCGAGCTCCACGTTCTAAACGAAGTCCTGTTACAGCAGCTCTTAAGAGTCCTCAAAGTTGCATCTGTGCATTACCTGTTCCTGAGGCCCATGCCATTGCTGACGCTGCCTCCGACCAGAGTCTGCAGGGACGGCAGAGAGGCGCGACTTAGCTGCTGTCTGCTGGGACCCCTGCGGCCTCCTGGCATGGTCGCCAGTTACCGTTCCTCTCAAAAACCCACCATGTACTTCAAGGTCACTGCAGGGCGTAACGAGGAAAACAAAAGGTTCAATTAAAAAAAATTTTTAAAAAAGAGAACGGGAAGGATAAACAGAACATAAAAAAAGCTATTGAAAACCAGCAAACCTGAAAGGTAAACAGTAATTAGCGTAAGGCTTAACTTCACAACCGATATGCAATAAATACACGGTCGGGAAGTTAATTAAGTGAAAAAAAATAAGCTGCACATATGCTCTTGTTTGCCAGTGAGCGGGCTCCCAGTTGTTCATGCATTTATGTGTCATCACTGTAAAAACCAAATGCCACGTTAATGGTGCTGAAAACACCATCATGATTAAATCTGACAAAATGTTCTACCAAACTAATTATTTATTTTCGGGGACTGCCTATAACTATTTTTACGTTCCTAAACAAAAATAAATATGTGAATCATGGCAAAAGTTCAGAGAAATATATTTTGTGAAAGAAGATTGTTTTTTTTTTGTTTTGTTTTGGATTGTTATTTAAGCATATAATATTTTTTTACTACAACATCCAGGTTGTAACCAGCATAAAAACAAAGAGATTTACGTCACATCTGTATGAGTTTCTACTCTGCTTGGCAACAGACCGGTGCAGATCTCTCAGACCAAACAAAGCAGCTTGAAAACTCGGCTTGTTTCTCATGTCGCTACCGACATCACCTCATCCAAACCCTCCCTTATTGCAACATCCCTGGTTTTTGTCAAATAATATCTCAGTGACACAAACGCAGCAAATCCCCCCACCCCCAATTCTCAGCGGAAAAAAAGCAGCCCTGCCTGGCTGAGCTCTAACTGGAAAAGTTAACTTAAAAAAAATAAAATCTTGACAAATAAAGGGAGCAATTTATCTTCATTGTGTTATTTATGAATACTATGTGTCTGATACAGAAAGAGCTTTTGGCTCAGACTTTATTACAGTAGGAAAGTTGCAGGTATAACTACAGTATAGTAACTAGTAATGTGCTGCATTTATAGCACAAGCAGAAAAACACAGTAAAATGTCTGACTGAAACATAGACAACACTTATGAAGGCACTTTAATACTTTTTGGAATGTCTGCAAGTTATTAAAATACTGCAAAGTTCAGAAGCTGCCTTAAATATTTTTCAGCCTCTTTGCAAAGTTGGCACCAAATGTGACACTTTGTTAAAACAATGAACTATGTATCCCTACATCTCAATTGATGGGGACTTTTATACATTTCAATTAACTTTTAATTAAGTGTGTCTTCCATACCAAATGTAAAAGGCCCAGCGAAGATAAAATCAACTCGCATAATAAAAAAATAATTGACGGTCTCTATTAACAGCAGCAACAAGATTTATATTTTGTCCATGTTATAAAAAAAAAGCAAAACAAGGAAAAAAATGTTTGTCTGGTCTCTGAAATTCTAACCAAGCTGAAAAAACAGAAGTAAGTTCAGTGTATTAAAATGAATCCTTTTTACTCATATTTGTTTGCGTTCATGTAAATTGAATCTTAATATACATATTTACTGTCGTCGCTTTTAACTAAGGATTTAAAACAAACAAAAGCAGACTCAGGAAATCATTCATAACTTGTTTCTTCCTCTATTTTAGCTCTGAAGTATTTCCACCAAGTAGACTTGTAATGTCTCAATGATCGAACCTGTGGCTGACAACAAGTGAAACATCACAAATTTAAGCTTGAAAAACTCAAGAGGAAAGTTGTTGACAACGCATCCGCAAATATGTAAACATCAGAAGCATATGAGGCACCACCTCTCAATTAGGTCAACTTACGAGTGGCAGATTTTGTTGTGCTGGTGCAAAGCTTATTTTTAACAGAATAAACTGAAGTGTTACATGACTGTTTTAATGAAATTCAGTTGTGCTTCTTGTGTTTCCATGCCACTGTCTTGACTAGAAAACCACGTGGTAGAAATCAGATTGTTAAACTGTGGTGTTCACTTTGCCACAGAGCAACACAGAAAATCACCTCTGCCTATAACCATCAGGCTTTATGACACCAAAGTCTGAGTTACTAAACTCTAATTTAACTCGGCACTCATTTATAGTTTATGAATTAACATATTTGCATGTGCAGCTTGTTATTTATTTACTTACATTCATCATATTGAATATATATATATTTATATATATATATATATCCAATAAAGTTATATCCTGTAACCTATATAGGATATATTTGTTATATTTGTGTCATTAACATTTAATACCTTAGAGAGAGTACCTCGTCAACAATTAAGCAATTTTCCCTCCGGGTATCAATAAAGTGTGTTCTATCTATCATCTGAGATTACCTATAGCAGAACTAATACGAACGTTTAGCTGGTAATTTTGAGGGGAAATCTCAGCATATGGTGTACAAATACTGGCGGCTGCCTTAGGTGAGTCGAAATTCCCTCTGAAGTCCCAACTTCAGTGTGAAATTCAAGTAAGATCTGCAAATTGTTTTCCTCGGCTGCGTTGGAGCAATGCAAGGCAGCAATGAATTTTTCTACATTTTGTATTTTTACAGCAACATGTTGCTGTAATATTCAGCGTGCGACCGAGGCAAATAAATCTTTTTTTTGTTGTTGTTTTTTTGCTCATTTAATTACACAACATGCAGTTGAGGTCTGTCTGGGCTGCAATAAATGCTAGCTAATTATTTAAGCACCATGCACTTGTGTAATATGTGGAGTCCTGGCTGTTTAATGCAGCATGAAGCGTTTCAGAAGGCAGAGAGGTGGCGGTGGTCAAGTCATTAAGAAAATACAGGTGTTAGCCAGAACTTCCCACTTTTTTCAATAATAAGAACCAACCAATTATGCAGTTCCACTGTTTTTATATAATTACATTTAATCTGTAGTAGCAGTGGTATTTATTGAGGCAGTACTTTGAAGGTAAAAGTCAGATCCATTGTTTCCGGAGCGCCTGAAACAACACATTTGAATCTCTATGTTAAAACAAGCTGTGAATACAAACCCAACCAAAACAGAATCTGTAGGACCCACTTTAAACGTCACACAAAAAAATTGTGTTTTTTGTGCATTTTTTTTCCTTATCATGTATTTTAAATGGTATTATTTTCACTAATCGAGCCCGTTTCCCTTGCCGTTGCACCACAAAGCAGAGGCTGACAGCATCCAGCCTTTGACTGGACCAGCATCTCCTTCACGCTTCATGACGAACTGTGCAGATGCTGAACGCGCAGCAGCAGAACTGGGCTGTTTGAGCTGCATCCACAAACAGGAAACAGACGTTAGCATGCGCGCAAACTCACCACAGGGGACCTGAACTACAGCTGGAAGTCAAAAGTGAAAACAGGAACTGTTGACTGCAGACATTAACTACAATGACTCGGTGTTTGTGTGCAACAGCGCGTCCCTCTGTTGGGGCTTTTGGAGATGAATAAGTCCCGAACCGATGCACTTGTTGGACTCTGATGCTGGGCTTTTTTTCTCCCTCCCATCCCCTCGGAGGAAAATTTTGCTACGAGGTGTTTTATGGCCACTAACTTGCTAAGACATGCACTAAAGCTGCTTGCGTGAATCATGGCATAAGGCAGCGTTGTCCATTTTTTTCCCCCACCCCCTTAAGAAAACTTGCGAGAACTCTTCACAAATCTTTATGAAAGACACACACGTGAAGCTGCTAGCCTGCTGCTTAGCCTGCTGGAATAAAGTGAGCAGGATCTAAAAGCTAGGTCTACTCACACAACATCGACGACATGCGGAGGGCTGAACTGAGCCGAGCGAGGATGCATCAGTCAGTTGTGTGACGAGTCCAGACAGCAACGGGCATTTCTCCACCTCCCAGCTTCAGTATCCGACGCTGTGCGGGCGCGGCGACGACTTACAACGGCAACGGCGGCGCTGCGGGGTCGCTCTGTTCCCCTCCGGAGGCATAAAACGGCTCTAAAAGTTAGTGCTGGGCTGGAGGAGCAACAGTGTAAGTGCGCTGCACAGAGACCGACGTGGCAAAGCAGCACCTCCTCTGTTGGCGTCGTCATCCAAACGCGACTCCGAAAGGGCTGCCCGCTGCACGGTGACTGCGATGAGAGCCTCGGCCGGTTCTTTTTACGGGATCCGAATCATTTGGCTCAGCTCGCCTGGAAAAGTGAATTCTGTCGACTAAAGATGTTCACTTAGTTCTACTTCTTGATTTACAACTCAGACCAGCTTTGATGTTTATTCAGAATATGTCAGTCACCATATGTTTGTTATAAAAAAAAACCCTATAGTATAAAACACAATATTATCATGTGGTACTTGTTTATGTTGTCTGTTAAAGACCTGTATCTCTAATGAGGGCCAAAACCAGTTCCTAATGTTGCAGATCTCATTCAGGAAGAGGAGCTCACCAGTTCTGATTTGCACCTTTGCCAGTTTTCTTTAAATTAGAAGCACTGAGCTGTGCAACATGTGTAAGCATTCTCCTTTAGTGTTTGTATTCCACATTTCAGGCAGTATAGGTGCTGCTATTGATGGTGCAAGACAGACATAATAACACTTTCTGCAATGCAGGGGTGTCAGACTCATTCTCATTCTGGGCCAAAATGAGGTAACAGAATATATTGATAAAAACTACCACATTAATAAACTGCTAAAATATTAACAAATACATTCTGTTGGTGCTTGTTAAAATGAAATAGTACTGAGCATCTTTTAATGTATTTGGCGTAACGCAGACAAAAACTGCTTTGGCTGATAAAATAGCATTTCACCACGCAGCTGTTACTTTTGAAGACCTATTTCCTATTATGAGGGCGACATATGTGCGGGACACACTAGTTGTGACGGCACAACAACAAAACGGAGGAACAGAAAGAAAAGAAGAGGCTCAAAGCCGATGACATCAATGAGTGGGCAAAAAGGACAGGCTCAGTCACGGCTCACGCATCCCAACTCCAGAAAGCTTCATCTGCACAGTCGCAGTCCAGGCGCAGTTTGACAGACATGAGTTATGAGCTGGAGATCAAAGGAAAGCGCAAACGGCACGTCAGGTTTATTTCTTGTATTATCAACACAATAATGTTCTGGTTTTCAGAGTTCAGGAACACTTGAAATCGAGGTCGTTTTTCCCCTCTCATCCATGAAGCCGCATGAATGGAAAAATAATAAATACCGACAGAAAAAAATAAATGAGACAATAATCCATGTGAACTGAGACACACTGAAGTCATCAGCGCACACTGCATCATGTCCATGATCACAGTTAAAGATGGAACAGTACAATTAGATATAATCTATCTATCTATCTATCTATCTATCTATCTATCTATCTATCTATCTATCTATCTATCTATCTATCTATCTATCTATCTATCTATCTATCTATCTATCTATCTATCTATCTATCTATCTATCTATCTATCTATCTATCTATCTATCTATCTATATTTCAAGCATTCTTAGACTTATCCACACTACATTTACCTCTTTGTGTAATTAGAAAACATTGTTACAACTTTCTTTAAATGTTTTAATTTGATCACTTGTGTCATTTTGTGTCTCCCCTTTTCTGACATATCTCAGCGGGTGAAGTTGAAATTTACTAGCTGATAGAAAACAGGAATAAAAACTAGAACCAACTGTGCCATTTGATTTCATATGCAAGAGGATTTTGTGTTCACAGGGAAAGATAGTGAATATTTTGTTAAGGGAGTGTTTATTCCAAACTGAATTTACAGCTGAATATTCATGTCAGGTTCAGACAATGTTGTGGTGATTAAGTCACATGCAGGGTGACGTAATTTTATACAAGTCCAATTTATAGATTCAAACCAAAAACAAGATGATTCTTGTCACAATGATTTTGTACCTTTTTCTAAATTATGTGGGAACATTTTAACATTATTCTAAGAAGGGTGATGTGATACATCTAATATCTGTCAAATGATTCAAAACATCTATGGAATACATTCCTTTCCTTCAATCAAGAACAATACCAGCACAATGACAAGGACAGTATATTTTCCTTCAACTGTTAAGTTTCAAGACAGAGAACAATATCTGAAAGGTATAGAGTTTATTCATAAATTCAAACCAACTGTACATAATTTTAAGAAACAGAGAAAAATCAAAGGCAACCATACGTTTAGAATATGCAACTATAAAAAAAGAAAAAAGAATTGGAGTGTATCCTGCATCACTCAAAATCATCACTTATTTACACACAAAGATCTTTTTTTTTCAAGTGAGCACAAAGTGCAAATATGTAATTTATTGCATGCACAAAGGTTTACAAACATATTCAAAATAACCGACTGCTTTTTGTGGTTTTGTTCCTTCAAAACCTTAAAAATTGCATTCATCACATTCACTTTTAAGATGCCCAGCAGACATAAAAATACACTTATTTACAACACTTATAAATTGAAGCATAAGTTGGACAAGGGTCTTTTCATATTGTATTAAGGGTTCAAATAGGTCTAATAAAACAGATTTGCAAAAGTATTTAATGTCATATTATTACCATAAAAACATCCAACTTGAGGTTTACATGTTGTTGTGACTTCACAACTTACCGTTGTGAAGTCACAACAGTAAGTTGTTAAAATTTGGCTCAGCTCAGAGTACTTGAAGCACACAAGCAAACCAGCAGAGGGCACTGTTACTCAGAATATTAAACAAAGGAAACCATTAGAAGCTCACAGCATTTCACAACTTACAGGCTGCGTTGAGCCTTTTAAATAAATTTCCATCTTCTTTCCATCTAATTAGGCAAAAAAATAAAACAAAAAATAAAAAACTATTGTGCCGTTCTTTTTAAGAGTTTACCCAAAGCCAGAAAAGGCAAATGAGTTGTGCACGTTTGCTGAGAGGTCAGAAATTGTTTCCCTGCTGGACAGCTCAGATGACAATACTGGTGGCGGTCCGGGAAACTTTGTCCTGTGAAGGAGAAAACCACTTTAGATTCACTTCAGAAGTGATGAGGGCAAGACAAACATTTCTTCAAGTCTATTTTGATCATTTCTGTGGTTACTTAAACAATGAGTGCCTTACAGAGAACTCATTCCTCCGTGGTCCTGGTTTCTGTCCTGGCTCGTATTCTGTGTACTTGGGAGGTTTGTCAGCCCATCCTCCTCCTCCTCTTCGACCCCCTGCTGCTCCTCTCCTGCTGCTGGAGTCATCATCAGAGCCCCATGATCCCCTGGAGCGTCTTGCTGCTGGAGGAGAGTAGTCCCCTCTGGACCTGCTATCAAACAAATCATCCCTGGAACGAGAGCGAGGCCGATCCAGGCCCGGCTTCGATCTATTGTGACGTCTCCCGTCCAGGGATTCCTCGCTGTAGCTTCGGGGAATTCCTCTAGATCTGGCCGGAGAGGGGTAACGCCGTCCGCCTGATGGCCCACGGTCATCGTAGCGGCCAAAGCCACTGCGGCTGCTCTCGCTGGAGCTGGGAGGTTGGGTCCTGGGTGCCGGGGGTCTTCCTGACTGCTTCGGTGGAACTGTAATGACGCGGCGGTTCATTGGACCATCATCAAGAGCGGAGATCATACTGGGAGCCCCCGGGGAAAATGGGACATTCATAGGCATGTGCTGGGGAGGAGGAGGCATTTGCTGCATGTGGGGGGGTGGCATGGACTGGCAGGAAAAGAAAAATATCAGTTTATTTCACCTTACAAATATATTCAGTTATGCACAAGAAAATTAAAAATTGTGAACTGTGAACAAGATCTTTAATCCAAGAAAGTGAGGGAAGAATAAAAATGACATCCTGCATCACTAGCAAAGCTTACAGATAGTCATGCTGGGATAATTCCTGCAGTAGAAAATAAAGCCAACTCTTACTTTTTATGCAGAAAAAATAAAAGATGCAAAGATTACAGACAAGACTGCAGCTGAAAGATCACCACTTAACATTTCAAAAGCTCTACTTCAGTCTACCAGGGACCTGAACAATATGGTTCTCAGGATCATAGAGGTACCCAAACCAAAACGTCATTGAAGTCTGAGGCCATGGATGTTAAACCTATGGACTTTTAAAATCTATAGTTACAAGCTACCAAACTTTTAACTATGGATGTCTAAAATCTGGTAATTCTACTAACTGTACGTTGACATCAATAGGTCCTAAATGAGCAACAATTGAAAACTGAGGCACATGTGGAAAGGAATGGAAACAGTGGGTGGTGATTTCTTTGGAGCATATAAGGAATAGTCAAAGGAGCAATAAATGCACCCAAACTTATGTTTGTCAGTAGAACAGCAATGAATCTGTGTTAAAATTATAGACAGCGATCTAGTCTCATTTCATGTAGTGAATTTTAGGCCAAGTCAATAACTAAATAATATTTTATCAGCTGCAAAAAGCTAAATGCTAAAATTATAGCGATAATGTAATCAACGTGTGTTATTTGATTTGTAATAATTTATATTAGCTTCTAAACAAAAAGCAAGAAGAAGCAAAGAAAATGAATTAAAGTCCACAGAAACAGCGACAAATAGGGTTCTATGTAATGTTGTAATTTAAATATTTGAGGTTAAACATTAATATGGGGAATATACCTGTAGCAAAGGACTATTGACATCCATTCCTCGCACCCGGTTCTCCAGGTAGTCGAGCATCTGATTGGTGTTGGCAGAAACATGGGAGCCTTGGACACTGGGAGGGCCCATGCCGTAAGCTGTGGGCTGAGGGGGGGGCAGAGGCATTGCGTTTAGAGGGATGCTCTTCCCAGAGACAGACCCTACAGAGGAAAAACAACAAAACACACAAGTTCACAGAACAGTTAAAAGAGAGTACACATCTATCAGAAAGATATTTTTAGTGTCAAACTTTTCCCTTTTTGACTGAGACTTAGTAGATCAATAATAATGCCTCAAAGGCCAAATAGGCTAAAGTGAACTGTTTAAATTAAGTTACTACCCCACCACCAAACCTCATTGATTGCATTTGATCAATGATTTCAATAATAAATTGCAATACATTTGTCATTGCAATGATAAATCAACACTCTTTCAATAATAAAGAAAAAATTACAATGACGATATGATAAATGTCCACCGCTTGTTGCGGTGAACCGCGGTTATTGGGGTTGTCAGAACCCAAACAAACACTAAAAACACAGCAGTTGTTAAAAATTGTTTTTATAAATTGTATGAATAACAACAAGACACCCATTTGCTATAGAAGCAGGACAAAAAATAGAATCAGTAAGAAGAAGCAGATAAGTTGTTTGGGTACCTGGATAGAGGGCTGGGTTCATCTGTGAGGACATTTGGCTCAATGGTGCATAAACCGGCTGTCCATTCATCCACGGAGACATGGCCCTTTGAGCCTCCTTCATCATGCGATGCTGCATAACAGCTGAAAGGTAACAAAGGTAATGTTCACAATAGTCAGAACTTTAAAAATAAAACCAGGCAAATAGCATATTCCGAGTAGCAATAGCTATGCTGTTTGGGATATGCTTTTATTAAATCATTTGACTGCTACATCGTGCGACATTTACCTCTTTCAGGACAGCAGCATGTCTGTGGACAGCAGGGACAGCGGACGTAGCAGCAGCAAATCTGCGGGCAGCACTGGCAGCAGCAAATACAGATGAGCAAGAGCAGGAGGAGGCCCCCGATGACGATGAACAGCACTGTTAGCCAATCTAGGAGAGAAAAAGAGAAACAGTGGCGTCTGGGTGAACTGTGCTACAGATGGAAACGCCCCAGCTGAGAAGTTGACGTTCTCAGTTTCTTACGGTAGACGATGAGCTTGACTTCTTTGTCCGAGTCACCAGTGGTGTCTCCAGGAGCGTCAACAGCACAGAAGTAAACCCCGTTGTCCCACCACATCACCTCATTTATCACCAAGTCTGCCTCTGTGCAAACACACAAAATGTACATCAACGTTAAAATTCGGTTCTCTGGATAAAACGGCCTGTTTGAAACTTTATTTTTTCAAATTAGGTGTTTTGATGAGTATGGGATAAAGAATGGCATTAAATTTCAATGAAGAAAATAGACTTTATTGATACCCATTACCTCACAATAGTTTGAGTTAAGTAAAAATATTTTAAGAATGGGCAATATAATAAAAGGGTGGGATGATAAAGCAATCTCCTAATTGTAATTAACATCTTATAGAAACTTGTATGAACTCACTATTTTGTATCGAGATCTTTCGATTCCGATATTCAGATCCCAGAACCGCCTCATTGGATCCTCTCTTCTGGATTACGACTCGAACTGTCCGCTGACTGTCTTGACAATCGTTCGCCGGGTCCTGTCCCAGCTGCAGTGCAGACTGATACGCTGTTAAAAACAAAAACAGAGGCATGGCTTGAATCGTAACTGTTTCACTTATTCAATTGTGTGTGCTCCAAGGGCTCCTGAAGTTTTCTCCCTGTCCTAAATCTAGTTCTATGAAAGATCGATTGTAAAATCTCCAACATTGACTTGTATTGGGTGCAGATTCAGGCATCCAAATTAAGGTATGTTAGTGGTGAATGGATGCATCACTGTCTTTGAAAATGCCAAGTATTTTGTACAGAAATATTTTAACCACAATTGGTGTTTGGGTCAAACACATAAATAAGCATAAGAAAGTAACTTGCTTCCTCTATTGTGGTATGATTAACATGGATATTGTTTGTTTGACGTTTACTTGTAATGAAGTTAATTTTGGTTAAATGTCAGTAAGCTTTATGTGCAATGATGTACAGCAGGTAAACTAAGACAGCTTCCTGTGTGAGGAAGCATTGTGGCCTTTACTGCATCATATTTATCTTCTACATGAGGGTGAAACATGATAACAAATTTTATCTTAGCATTTTGATGAGACAGTTCATGTCTTAAATAATACTTTGCTGACGTGGTCTGTTTCATCAGAAGAATACAACTGGATGCTCATCAGTTCACCCCTTTGCCAGTTTTTTGCTCAACTCTTTCAGCAACTAAAAGAAGAAGTCAACCACAGGATGGCCTGTTTCCATATTGTTACAATCTTTATCCACTGCAGGGTAACCAATTAAAATAGTTTATCATAATTGACTCTTGACTTACTGTCAGAAAATGTCCGAGGGTGCAAGGGTAAGAATCTCAATCCAAGAAAACAACATTCACAAAATGAAGCAGAAATGTGAAAGTTGATTTATTTAGCTCTGATTTAAAAAAAAAAAAAGAAATAAACTGGTTCACATTGCTAAAGTACATGGGAAGGAACTGGTTTGATTGCTGGCATGAACTAGAAGTAGGTTAGGAGGAAATGTCCACCACCCGTTTTCTCTGACATGAAATAGATCTACTTTACCTGTGGAGTAGTACTCCAGGACAGGATCCTTGCAGAAAGACTTGAACCTCCAGGTGACAAGAACCTCATTGGGGTTTGCAGACGTGGAGTAATCACAGGCGATGGTCACCGAGGCGAACAGAGCTGTGTTGCGCTGTGTCTCAGATACTGTCACTTGAATACAAGCCGACTCTGTGGAGAAACGGGTTAAAGATGTTTCAGGTCAGAAAATGGAAAAGGTGAAGCTGATTTGGAGGACTGGACCGTCCTTTCTGTGGAAGTGGTGCGAGTCGAGCAATGTGTGCGGGGGCCTCTTCCAAACAAGATCATTTCAGACTGGCAAAACCAGAAAGTCCGGTCGTACAGACACAAACACCGGAAATGAGTCTCAGTGAAACTGCAAAGACATTAGTCAAAGATCGGTGGAATGAAAACTCTTTTGGCTTAAAACTAAAAGGTTAAAAGTAAACGGAGCCAGGAAGCAGTGACCTGTAAACATTGTTTCCCCCCCTATTCTTTTGGGCCAGTGAAGCATCAAGGTGGCCGGATAGAAAATGAATGTCAACAGTAACAACAAACAAACAAATGTATTTCGACACAAATAAAACGTGTGAATGTCGACTTGACCCCAAACAGGCTGTTCAAAAGAATAGTTTCATTTTTATCTGTTAAACGTCGTCACGTGACCGATACCGTCACTTCAACAGGTTCAACTCGAAAGGAACGAATAACAACCGATTTATGTGTACATGAGTTTAATAAACCACGAAGACAGAAAGCAAAATGGGTGTTATTTACCTTTCAGAAGAGACAGTAGGAAAACTGCGGCGAGTATTCTCCACATGCTGATAAAACAGACACAAAAAAAAAAAAAAACAACCTGCGGCTCCGAAATGCTCACACAAACTTCGACCAGGCCACAAATTTATAAAAACAAAACAAAAACCCAAAAAACAACAATCAATATTTGTGAAAGACAAGCAAAACCAAGACTATATTTCTACCTCGACCTAAGACCAACTAATCATTGCTCCACTCTTAAGATTTTCAGCTCCGGTCTCTTTTGCTGTGGCTGATACTGCGCTCGCTGCTGGCCACACCCCGAAACAGGTAAATTCATCCGGGTCTATGACGTATACAGGTGAACTGAATTCCCCCCACGCGCCTCATCAACCGATAGAAAGTAAAACAAATGCTAATTTGGAAAAACGGAAACATAAATATGTGACATGTAAGAAGAATCTCCGAGTACAAATAACAATCAGGTGGTTTCTCTATGCATCCATTGTTCTAAAAAAAAAAAAAAATCTAAATAAATAAAATTAAACTGACCTACATAATTTTGTAAATCCAGGAAGAGAGTGAAAAGTGTCAAATTACAATAGACACAACTTATGAAATAATCGTGTAAATGTGTCATGAAGTTGTTAAAACTAGAAATAAGCAGATAAATAATGTATTAAATTTGATATAATTCTACATTTAATTTTTGAATTCCAAAACTAAATGTTTTGATTTCATTTTAAAACTAGATATAATTTTTTTAATGATATTATTTAAGTTATTGAATTATCTGTCCACCAGGAGCTAATTTAAACTATGATCAAATGGCTGTAAAAACATGCCACACACTTTTACCAAACACAAGAGATACAAATATAACTGCTTAGCTATGTCATGACTATATAAAGCAAATCTAAAGTACTACGCTCCTCTGCTATTACCATTGGTCTGAAACTGCAGTTGCTGAGCTACAAGCAGCTCTGATGATAGGATGGCAAAAAAATTAAAAAAATTAAAAAAAAACTAAATACATCCTTAGCCAACAAAATTGAAAGCCACATGTTGCTTTGCAAAATTGTTTAATGCTATAAATAAAGCCATAAAAGTATATATATTTTTACCCTGAATATAATTAAAACTGTAGAGTTAAAAAAAGGAATAAAATAATATTTCACCAGATAAACATAAAAGATGAAACTCCAAAAGCCTTCCTGATAATTCATTAAAAGACATATGAATCATGCATTTTTCAAATAAACGATTCTATTTTTTTTTTCACTTCAAATTATTGTAGATTATACAATCCACAAAAAAGTTTAGTAAACACAAAATCTGTGATTAGTATATTATTATAAAATGGCAAAGTATCCCAACAGGTCAAATAAATGGTTTCTATTTCCAAAGAGAGTTATTTTGGGGGTGGGGAGGTAAGGTGGCGGGAGGGGGACGGGGGTCTTGCCCTCACTATGCAGGATTAAGTCTTTATAGGGCTTGCACAATTTTTTCAAAGCTATAGTCCACACCCCAGAGAGTTATTTTCTCTGTCTCAGAAATATCTGGCTTGCAGTCATGTAACAAATAAGAAGTGCTGCTCTTCCTGACTGAAGTTTTTATCTTTCACTCAGTACTTTTAATCTGTCAAGGTAGAATAGCCAAGGGTGTATAAAAGGATTGATGCAATTCCTGAAAACCTACATAAACCCATGTGCAATCCTGTCTGAGTTCAGAGCAAAATGTTTTGTGAAGCTGCTAGGCATAAACCGTACGGGACATCTGGTAGTTTTGGGTTGTGGTTTGTTTTGTCGACCTGTTCTACAGTAGACTTAAAACTGCTGTAGTGCTTTAAATGAAAAACCTTTAAAATAATAAGAAAATAAACATAATATAAAAATCATAAGTCATTTTGTAGCGTTTTTTTGTTTTGTTTTGTTTGTGAATGCGCAATGTTTGTTTCAAACCGCTAGGTGTCAGTAAAAACTTTACTCCCTCGTTTGCTCACACACATCGGGATGCGGTTGTTTTACTCGAGATCGCAAAAGTTCTCACCCTCCTTATTACTTCATCAGACTCACCCACTTACACATGATCTCCCCAAAGAATCTGGATTGATCTGCGTGTCAACTGGACCTCGGGTGCGCCTCGAAATTCTCAGAACCTGTTTGGCTTCTGTGCGCAGCCCCCTCTGCACCTGGAGCGCCTCAAACTATTTTTCTCGGAAATATCTGCCAAGATCCACTCGCGGCTTCCTGCCTGTGCGCGCTTTCATCCTGACCATCTGCTGAGGCTTCAGAGCAAAAACAATCCATTCACTCTCAAATTATTACATTTTTGTTGTTGTTGGGCATTTTTAATGCATTCTTTATCTATATACTAAATATAACTTGTCTGCACATTAAGGTTTTTCACAACTTTTTATCATTTTGAAGTTCTTGAAATTCCAATTCGTTTCATATGTTTCTTTACTCAAACGGACTAAAATGTTGGATCACGAGCATGTAATATTTAACTAGTGCCACATTACAATTCAGCATTTCATTTTTTATTTTATTTTTTTGTATTTCACTAATTGCTTTCATATTTTACTAGCTTTCATTCTTTAAAAAATGGTTTATTTCATGTATAATGGTGAATCATATCCAGCTATTTCCATTTCTGTGCAATCCTGCACTCATCTGACCCAGAAAGGGAATCTAAACATCCAAGAAATTATTACTTCAATGCTCCAGGTGTGAATAGAGATGGACTTTGTTTAGCTTTTATTATTTTTAAGTTATTATTTGCAGCCTCTGCAGACTGTCATTCTATCACCTAAAATCTCACATAAAATACATGAAAGTTTTTGATTGGGATGGGACAAAATAGATTAATTGCTATGGATGATTTTTCAAGGGAGTTCTGGGTCCAAAGGCAGGCAGTCGGGAGGCATCCTGATTATTTGGTCAAACTATTTAAATCATCTCAAGGCAAACCCGTAACAGGAACACTATTTTACTTGATGGTGATGTCATGCTGAGGTTCTGTGGAAGTGAGCTACTCACTGACATTCCTGAGATATTATCAAGCTGGTCACTGTTGGAGCTCTTCCCTCCGATCTCAAACAAGCAATGAATGAAGGCTAAGGTCATGAAAAGAATTGATGTTCCCTTTCAAATCTTTTATTTTGCTAAAAGAAATAGAACTAAAATCCTGCTTTTCTGCAAATGCTATTTTTGCAAAATTTCTTTATTTATCAGAATTAAACATGTCACTCCAGACTGCTTTATTTTATATGTATTTATACAAATAGAAAAAAGGAATTCCTGCTCATAAAATATGGATTCAAAGTTTGAGTAGGTTAATGTGTAAAACTGGTTGAAAAAAGAAATTTCAAAAAGTCCAACCTTTAATTTAAAAACAGGGAAAACCCTACTTTACTCAAGAGTAGTTTTTATTAAAATTGTCAAAAACTTTTCACAACCTACATTTGCCAATAAGACAGTGTTTTATTGTCTTACAACATTTCAGATGGTTTAATCCTTTAACCGTTCTTTGCAGACTCTCAATAGATTCCCAACTCTTTTATTTAGTATTTAGATCTGGAACTTCTTTAAAAATCATCATGTCATGCCATTAAATGGAAGAGAAACATCCCAGGAGGTTCATAGATCCTGCAGCAAACAGCTGATATGAGTTGATATTCCAGTTGTGTTTAGCAAACTCCACATGGTCACTTTTGTAAAATACAACAGATACGTCTTTCTGATGTATTTTCCTTGCATGCCTCGTAGAAACAGTTGGTGCAAAGATTATGGTTGCCAGGGAGATTTAGCAATCCCAAGATGCCAAATATTAATATCAACACACTAAATCAAATGTTCTCTTGTCTTTCCCACTTTGAAAGATTGCTAAGAGGATTTTGGATCTGTGCTCTAAAGTGATATGAAACAAAGTGATATGAAACATACAAACATTACCTCTCAAAATCAAACGACCAGAACATTCATAAATAAAAAACGGATTTAGAAGTGGCAACATCTTCATACTTCATTACAAAAACAGAAATGGAACAGGCAGTGAATATAAGCAGTCACTTACGCATTACTGATTAAAAGTTCTCCAATCAACTCCTGTCAAAAAAATAACATTAATTACAAGATAATTTAGTTCAAATTTTAACTAAATTATTACTATTCAGTAAATAGTAGCTATTTACTAATTGCTAAATCGAATAGTAAACAGTAATAGTCTAAACATTTATCAGTAAATAGCAAATATTCACTAAATATTTACTATTTACTAAATATTTTACTATTTTGTAAATAGTAAAACATTTACTAAAGATTGTAATATATTTAGTAAATATTAAAATGTGAGTGATTATTGGTGATGTACAAAAACGACGATTTAATGTGGTGTGTATCTTTTCCCGTCTTCTTGGTGTTTCCCTGAGTTCTTTAAGTATTTCCGTTATTTTGTGATTAATATTCTCGTTTTATCACTCCGCTGCCTCTGGGTCCTCTTCAGTTCTTGCTAATCAGGGCATTCAATGGTTTTTAGCACATCTTGGCAAAAGGTACAATTTTAATGGAACTGCAAACCCAGAGATTTATATTTTTGTTTATTTAAAAAAAAAAATCATGACATATATGTCATATGTACGTAATGTATGCCATGACATATATGTGACAACATACATGTCACGACATATCTGAAAGAAAATACATTGATGAATTAGTAATGAAAATTCCAGGCAGATATTTGCACTTGAACTGGCTGAATGGTGTATGACTTTTCACACAGCTGCATAGTCACAACAGACGCTCCATGATAACAACAATGGACAAAGGACATGAGTCACACTCAATTACATACTGTTTCTTTTTTCAGAAAAGTAAAGAGTCATCTCTCTCTCTCTAATGCAAAAAGCACACACAGACACACGGAAGTCACGACAAAACTGAAAATATGAAGTTATTCTACTTGTTTGACGATGGCTCTGATAAGGACGAAGAAAAGTGTTGCAGTGTTAAAAACAAAAGTAAAAGGCGAAAACAAAAAGTAACAAATCTGTGTTGATTAATTAGCATCAAGTGATATGAAACATACAAACATTACCTTTTAAAATCAAACGACCAGAACATTCATAAATAAAAAAACGGATTTAGAAGTAGCAAAATCTTCATACTTCATTACAAAAACAGAAATGGAACAGGCAGTGAAAATAAGCAGTCATTGTGAGAAATAGAAAATTCATTACATCTTTGTTCCCTGGTTGCTTTAGCACCGCTGAACAAGAATGGAAGCAAAACAATGTTACAAAATTTTAACTTTAATCTCTGTAACTCCAGCAACAACTGTTGCTCTTTGGGTCAGAGGTCAGTCAGCTTCGTTAAGCCATGCCTTCATTCGTGAAATACTTTGCTAATCCCTCTGTCTGAGTCATATGAATAAAAACAACCGCCATAATATACGGTTCTGAGAAGAAAGCATTTCTCTCCTTATAGAGTTCTCCTGTTTTACTTTTTCCACACTTGAATTTCCAAGTCACCAAAAAATAAACACACCCTGAGCAAAAAACGACATGCTCTTTTCAAAATTAGAATTGTGTTTTGAAGGAGAAAATAAAAAGCTATCCAAATTAACTTGGCCCTTTGAGTGGACTAATTGTGTCCTCCCTCACCTTGTGAACTGTGATTAACCACATTTTTTGAAAAGCTACATTTCAATTGTCACACCGAGAGCTTAAAAGTGCGGGACCTACAAAATCACAAAACACAGGAAAAGCTAACATGTGCATGTCATCACTCAGTCGAAAAGAACAATTAGGATTAGATGAAAAACAAAAGTCTTGACCACAGTTTGTCTGGAAAAGGTTACAAACTAAGTTTGTTGTGTTTGGAAGCCAATTAACCAAAGTGAGGGCCGTTACCCACAAATTGAGAAAACACAGTGCCGTGGTGATTCTTCCCTGACGTGGCAAACCAAATATTCCTCCAAGAACGAATCACTGACTCGTTCAGGAGGTCATGAAAGAATCCAGAACACCTAAATCACTGAAAACCTCAGTGGTTTCAGCTTCCATGGGAGATTTTCAAGGCAGAAGCATCTTCTGACTTGTGGAAGGTGTGACTACTGAACATTGTATAAGTGTAGTGATTTGTACCGTGACTTTAACGGGTCATTCAGAATCAAAACCTTTCCAAATTGGCTGAACACATTTTTCAAAGAGGGCCAAGTTGGTTTAAATACCTTTAGAGATTCCTATTATATATATATAAAAAAACTGAGAGCACTGTAAAGCACAGAAATCCTTAGAGCGCAGTCAACATTTTAACTTGAAATGATTGATGGTTTTGTGCAATATTATGGCAGCTGTGTCAGAACAACATATCCAGTCACTTCTTCTATTTTCACGTCAATGTAAAGTGAAGCATTAGATGTGGGTTAGTAGATAAGGCACAGCACGATGCAAACCTGTTCTTTCTTCATATTGTGCTTCCCAGGGAAACAACTCATTTGTTTCACAAAGAGTTTTCAGCTTTTATATTAGCTGCTTATAACTCATGATTGTTACTTGACTATGTTCAGGGTACTGCCATTTTTGAATACAGGCACTGTTTTATAAAAAAAAAATTATGAATCTTGGATTTTGTGAAGATGAATTATGCAATTTTTCTGAGGTTTAGATGAAAAAATATACCTTTAAAGACATGGTACACATTTCATTGTTATAATAAATAATAAGTAGTAGCTGAAAACCTCGACTTTACTCGACGGAGCAACAGGAAGATGCTGTAATACTTTTTCGATGACGTTTGGCTCCTTGAAAAGCAAATACAAAGGAATGAGAGATTTGCCCAGTGCTGTAAATGAATTTCATTTCAGTCTTCATTATTAATAAAACATTGATAACGGTGCTGATGTTTGTCACAACTTTCAGCTTTATGTAAAAAAAAAAAAAAAAAAAAAAAAAGTATCTCTTTCAAACCTAAGTGCTTTAGTTGTTAAACGTTAATAAGTGACATCATGCACATTGTTTTCTGATGCAGTGGTTGGGTGTGAAGGGGTGGAGGGTGTTGTTTACAATGAGCGTGTTGTCAGTTTCATTTATTCCACTGCAGGGCTCTTCTACTCCCATGTCTCATTAGATAGAAATGAATGCACTCATTGTGCCTGAAGAGTTAGCAAGTGTCTGCTGCAGCGCTTTCCCAAAGTGACGAAGAGGAGACGGACTGCCTCCCACTGAGAAGAGCATCCCAGGCCACACGTCCCGCTGACATTAGTGCTAGTGCAGCGGAGATATGCATGACACAGCCAGTGACTTCATCACTCAGTGGTATCACAGAGTTACTGTCACCCTGTATCTTTACTGATTCAGCTGTTCTTACAGTTCTCCCTGCATATAGATTGGAAACCTCAGACTCAAAGACTCGGATCCGTCATCGTTTCTCAGCTGACGACTTGCTCCTCGTGGGGTTTCACTCTCACTCGGCTCCGTTCTTCCACTGTCTTTGGCTTCCAGTCGGTCAGACGATAAGAGAGTCTCGGCTGAGGAGCGTGCTCTGGTGAAAGACAACACAAAAGTGACCGTTGAGCGGAGAAACGGCGAGAGCAAACATTAAAGCAGTGACGTGAGGTTAATATGGTGATGGAGAACCTGGGACAAACTGCTCTTCAACTGTTCTGCACATTGTTTTTGTTATTTTAAGGCCAGAAGCAGGAAGTTTTGTTGAGGTTGAACACCACTCTGCCCCAGGTATGACTGTGAGTAGACAACCAGTTATAAGTGTTATGGAGAGAAGTTGGATATAGAACAGAGTATTCTACCTAGTTTTCATTCTGGTAGCATCTGAACCTGACCTGTCAAAGGTACAACAACAAAACTTACTGTAGGTTTTCAAAACATCTGCCGCCACCACCCAACACAGAATCAACGGAGAGACAAAAAGAGTAAAAACTTTCACAGATTTTACGACTTTTAGCATCAAAGACTTGTGTTCAGCGCACGTTCAACTGCAGGGCATTTTGTCAGCTAAATTCAAAATTAAATAGTAAAAAACAAAAAAAAAAAGTTTGTCAAAGTAGGAATAAAACAATAACACCCTGATTTGGGGAAGTAGCTGATTTTGTGACCTTTGGTGCAATGAAAAAGCTGCCAACACATCACAGAGTTTTGGTTGGACTTGAAGTCATTTGTTTATTTCTTTTAATAATATGTGGTGAGTTTGATGATTCACATGAGCAGAACTCAACACAGGAGGGCACTTCATTTATGAAAACGGAGCTTTGCTTTTCTGACACAAAATCAAACTTTTGGGGACGTTTTTTGTTTTTATGTGAGGTTCTGTGAAGTGGGTTGGTACCTTAACTAGAGTAAACAGGAATATTAAATTTGAAGGATACTCATAATTACACATATATTTTTGCAACAGTGCAATTCATCCTAGTATCAGTGGGTCACGAACTGGAGCACATTTGCATCGTTGCTTAGTTTGTTTTTGTTTTCTGCACATACAGTCATAATTCCAGGGATATCACCTCAAAACAGCAGAGACCAGGAGCTGCTTTTCCCTGGTGAGATAGGAGGGGCTCTCTCTAAGCAAGGACACATGACAACAATCCCTTGGTTTGATTCAAAAATAAAAAATAAAGAATATTTGGAAGAGACAAGATCGCTGTGCAAAGGGCAACAACCTACCTCAAGATGCAGAACTGAAATCTTTGCAGTTACTGCTGCCAATAGCAGAATATGAAAACGACTTTAGAGCGAGTTAAGAGGGGATACCAAACATCAGTTTTACCGATAATAATAATAATAATAATAATAATAATAATAATAATAATAATAATAATAATAATAATAATAATAATAATAAAAGTAAATAAAAAAATAGAAAGATAATCTACTAGTCTGGGATATTTATTCCATAAGCCAATATTTTGCCTCACATGGTGAAATTATCTTAACTCAATTTCTGTGGGCACCATAAAGAAAACTAACTTTCAAATCCAGGCACTTTCACAGGTAAATGAATGAATAAATGCATTAAAGTTTATACCAATAAAATGTTCTTGCAATCCTCAACCATTATGCCTTAAACATGTTTTACTCATTGCTTTGAAATTGAGTATTTCTGGCTCACAATTCAAACAGGAACCTTAACTGTATCTGCTGTTCCTCACCACTTTCCGGGACTTGTCCCTGTGCTCCTCTCTGTGAGCGGGCAGAGAATGAGGAGGCGGAGGGGAGCGGGCGTTTGCGTGGAGCGGCCGTGGAGACGGTCTTTCAGTTCTGGTTCTCTCTGAGTCGGATGGAGACAGCGAGTCCGCCTCTGGCCTGTTGCTGGGAGAGCGGCTGCAGAGGCGACTGGACTCTCTGCTGGTTTTCTTGCCGCTCCTCATTGATGGCCAATCTAAATCTTCCTCAGCCTGGGTCCCGTTTCTCCCCTGGGAAACTTCTCGTAGCTTCGCTTTACGTTCTAACAGGCTGTTCAGGAAAGTGGCATCGTAGTCCCTTTCCTGAGAGGAATTCGATGGCGGATCCTTTTTGGGGGGAGGCGGCTCGACCCTCTCCCTATCCCGTGCGTTGCCCCTCTTTTTGGGAGAAGAGAGAGGGCTTATGTTGTGTTTGCTTTTGTGGCTTGCTCTGGGATGTCCTTCCTGCTCACTGTTGTCGTCAAGCTCATCCCCATTGCTGTAATAATGCTGAGGAGGACCCTTGCGATGGGAGGGATATCCACCATACTGCAGCACTTCCATCTCATATTCCACCATTTCTTCTTCTCTCCGTTCTGCTCCTCTGCCTCCTCTCTTCTTGTAGGTAGTAGCAAACTCCTCCAGTTCATCCAGAGAGACGGTCCGTCCCGAAGTGTGATATGTCTTCCTCTGCAGATGTTCTGAACGAGGGTTCCACCTGCAAAACATCACAGAAGGTTACTGCATTCTTGTTTTTAACAAGAAATCCACCCCAGGATTCACATGTTTCCTTCACCTGTCGTGTTTGTCTTCATCACTGGAGTTCTGTTGCCTCTGACTTCGAGTGATCCTGTGCGACTGAGAGGAAGACGGCGGGTCGTCGCTGTATCGCCGTGGAAGCAGAGGCTCATCCTGGCTGTCGAGGTGGTCTGAGTCAGGGTCGAGACGGTAGCGGTGAGGCGATGAGGGGATCTTACGGTGGCGCTGCAGGTCTGGGCTGCGGTTCTCACGGTAGCCGTGTGGCTCCGGGCAGGAGCCTTGATCAGGGATGGCGGGCAGAGCTTTCTTCTGGACATTCCTGAAAGTTTGGTGGAAGTTGGTGTCTCCTTCGTGGAGGGAGCTCAACTCCGATTGATTACAGGCTGGATAAATAAAAAAAAGCAAAAACAAATAAACATTATAATAAAAGGAAACAATTAAAAAGAATCTTTGAAACGGAGCGTACAGGAGTTTAAGACAGTCAAAAGTCTGGAAAAAAATGACCAGAGGTTGTGAATAAGATTTGTGCAAATACAATCAGATAGGCTGGCATGCTCATCTGCTACATTTTTCACATGTGCATAACAGGAAACCCAGCAGGCAGAACATTTGAGAGCAGAGAGGCATGCTGGACAGGCTGAGGAAAATAAGAATCTTAAATGAAACTAAGCCACAAGCAGATAGCATCAGCAGGCTTGAGTAGCAAAGCTGCAGAGTGGGTTTATTAAGCTTACACTGTTTGCTGTTGGACCCAGAAGGGTTGAAGTGAGCCAGCTGTTTCTCTACATACTGCAGCACCCTGAGAGAGTTTTGATCCTGCGGTGAAGGTACGCGGTAGGGAATCCCTACAGCTTGCATGGGCATCGGAGATACTGCAACAGTCATAATTGTAAAAGACTACTTTCAGACAGAGCCACTTAGCAAGCATGAGTGATGCCGAATGTGGTCTTTGGTTCATTTACAACGAGCTGGCACTGTCACCAGAATCTGCTACTTCCGCAAACTGTCTGCAACGAAAACGGGAAACACTGGAAATCCTAGTTCCAGTGAATTTGTATATTTTGTTTTGCATTGTGTCACAATAGAACAACCTGAAACTGCTCCACTGACCAGAGTCAGACCAGTTATAGATTGGACTGCTTGGTGGAGAATCAGCAGATTCAATGTCTTATTTTGTTTCATTAGATTAATGGCACATTTTCATCAGACAATTTTTGCTAATAAAGACTTTTGCTAATAAAGACTGACAGTGTGCTTTATGTGTAAGGTCTGAATGATAATAGAAAGAATGGCAAATGTGGGATCTGCAAAAATTAGACATAGGAACTTGCGGATCAAACTGAAATTGGCTCATTTCTCATTATGGTGCTTAATTCAGCAGCCAAGAAAATTCTTAATCTGAGGGATATTTTTGAATTTCACCGTACGGTTTTACAGCAGTCAATAAGATTTGGCTGATTAATATTTACAGAGATGCATCCGACAGTATTTGAGCAATCAGTTTTTTCCACATCAGATCTTTTCTAAATACTTTTCAGTTCGTATTGAGTCTCAAACCAATCATCTGTTTCTCATAGCAAGAAAAGATAAAGGTAAAACCTCACCTGCTGCCACTAGAGTCCCATCTGAGGGGGGGACAGTAGACACCTTGTCCACCAGGGAGGGCGGGGCGATGGGGATCATGGCTGGCAGTCCAGACACAAAGTATGGAGGGTAGGCTGGTGTCTGAGGGGTGGAGGCGCCAGTCTTTATGCCTTTACCCGCTTCATACACTAAAAAGGAAACAATTATACTCACTTCCAAAATAAGAAAACTGTCATTTTTTTTAGCCGGCATCAATAATCTTGGGATGAATTGCTTCTCGGTCCGAGTGTGTGTTTATGCTCACGGTGTCGGGGGCAGCAGCACGTGTCGGGGCAGCACCAGCAGCTGACATAGCAGCAGCAGGAGTGGGGACAACACTGACACCAGCAAACTCCAACCAGCAGCAGGAACAAAATGCTGCCGAGCACCACGGCCACCACAAACGCCCACTCTGCAGGGACACACAGGGGACGCAACGTCATCATCTAACATAGCGGTTTACAGCCTTGTCGAGTTTGGACAGAAGTGTAAATGCTAAACAGGAAAAACTTGATAACTTAGTTATATTCAGTAAAACAACATTTTTTTGTTGTTGTTTTCACTACGAGCTTGAACTTTTACACTTCTGCAGGGATCAAACGTTTTACTTTTTATGTACATCCTCAGTGCAACTGTTCTTTGACAACCACACTCCATATAAACATCAGCAAAATGAGGATTACTCTTTTAAATCAAATGACTAATTTGTTAGATTATAAAGTAGCACTAACTGGTGACCTGCCAAAAATACTTCCCAACTCTCAGTCATGTGACTACAATGGATAAATGTTGCAAACCTGTGCTGCAACACACACACACACACACACACACACACACACACACACACACACACACACACACACACACGCACACACACACACACACACACACACACACACACACACACACACACACACACACACCCCACACACACACACACACATGAATCCCAGCACCACACAACACCGTAGTGCTACCAACCCCCTGGCTGCGACATTTTATTGCAATTTATAAATAATGTTTGAGTCTTATGATTTGTGTCAGCAATTCTTAAAGCATTGTGATTTTTGTGACCAAATTAGCTTCTGTCACGCTGACAGAAAACTGCATCACTTTAGATAAGACAACTGAAGGGCAGCAGAGTGATAACAATGTTTTAAAACCTTTGTATCAAATCAGTTAAGTGTTTTAATTAACATATGGAACTAGAGATCTCCAAGGGAAGAAGGACAGATTTAAACTGTGACCAAACAACTATCGCAACATTGTCTGTGACAGAAACAAGAGGCAAACATTTTACAGACAAATGGAGGAGTGACCAACTTTACTCTGAAAATTTTTTTCTGCCTTCTTTAGAAATTTGAACAAATGACAAAAAAGAGGTCATTTTGCTCAATATTTTCTGAGTGTAACAGTACAGGCATGATGCGTGCAATCAGTGCAGCTGACAGACCACATCTGCTGCCTCCGTCTACAGATACTACACAAAAAGAGGGAAGGAGAGGAAGGATAAGGAAACCTTCAACAATGTTATATTCCGCTCGGCATTCTCTCGCTGTCTAGCAAACACAGCCCGAAGCCACGGCTCCCGCACACACACTGACAGGAAGCCTGCTCCTGCTGCAGGAAGGAAAAGGGTAGTTTATGCTGCTCTCTACGACACTGAAGATCTGCGGCCGTTTCAGATAAATAACTGGTAATATGATCTGATTTACAGTCGCCGAGACGCCTACGCCAACACACGATCTCACTTAAGCGTTTTTAGCTCCCACAGAAACCTGCGTGTGAGTCACTGCAGATAACACTCATCGACACAACACTTGCAGCTAAAATAAGCAACCACCCAGCCTCTGAGTCCCATCACGTCACATTGGGAGTATTTCAACACAATTCTTTCGGTTCGATGATCATAAACATGTGTGACATAAGCCAAACTCCCCCTCCTTTTCTCGCTGCTGCCTTTTTGCAATCCTTTAACCAAATGCAGCGGGATGACATGCTAACCCGAGCCATAAATAACTATAATGACCATAATAACTGTTTTCCAGCACTGCTCATCTTGGTGGGAGCATCGGCCAGCTCATTATTTGATGGGTGTGGACCAGCCTGTTATCTAGAAACTGGCCCTGTTAAAGTGTCCTTAGAGCTAATTCACAAAAAATAAAAATAAATCTGCTGTGTTATCTATAAAAAAACATATCAGGAAAATTGAACATTGCACATGATGAGAATGCATAAGTGTGGACAATTATTTATTTTATTTTACTTTTGTGGCCCATTTCTAAACCTGATTACAAGATGTTTTGGGAAGACTAAGATAAAAAGTAGCTGATATGACGCCAGCCATCTATAGACTAACTTTTGGTTTTAATTTAGCAGATGATCTAGAAATTGGCCTTTGCCTGTTATCAGACAAAGTCAGAAAAAGCCAAGATGCGGTTTAAAGCCAGAAGTGTTAGCATGAACGAAAGAAAGCAGAAAAAGAGTAGAAGACATTATGCCCCGACTGTACCTGGCATAATCTTCAAATCAATGTCAGGCAGGAGATCTTCAGGCACACCTGAGAAACCTGGAGAGAGACAGAGTAAAAGTGACCAGAGCAGAGGAGAGTGGATGGAGCGGATCAAATCAAGTGATTGGTGTCATTGGGTGGAAGTATGCAGGCATGCCATAAAGCATAAACACAGCAAAACAGGAAGAAAGAGGAAGAGAGAGAGCTGACAGGTGAAGGAATGAAAAGTGGGACATGTTTCGTCTGGTTTCAGAAAACTGATACATCAGAGCTGCTGATGAGAGCAATCAGCCCGTTGTTTCTGATTTTAAAGGTCTTAAAATGTTATCTGTTTGATAGCAGCACAGACTGAAACTCAAAAGTATTCCCATGAAGATAAACAGGCAGGACCCGTGAGAAAGGAAGATCTGTAAACATCCCAGATATGCACATTTTGATGTTGGTAGATGGAAAAATGTAAAACTTGTTCATGTCACTAGAATGAACCTATTGGTAAATTCTTTAAAATCTTCTTCTTCTACCATGAAACTAGAGGCATCAGCTGAGGTACAATATGGAATATTAGAGGCGCCTTAAAAAAAAAAATCAAAGTGTATGTGTCCAGGGAAGCAAACGGCAGCTTTGTGAGAAGTGAAAGCATATGTCTGAGATGCAAACAGAACCTGGTATTTTACAGCTGAGGGTGTGAGTATTGGCAGAAAGGAGGAAAAGAGTATTTGCTGTGCCAGAAAAGAGGGCAGCAGCAACAGCGTGCAAGCTGGACGTGGCCTGACTGCAGCTGACAGCGCACATACCTCACTTAATATCTTTGTGGCGGGCTAAAACTGGTCTTAGCTGGATTTGAACAATTAAAAAAAAATAAAAAATTTCAGTTGAACAATTACAACTTGTCCTTTTATAGTTTTGTATTAACCTGTTGCTTTGTTTAGTATTTTTTGGGTTATTCCCTAAAATTGACTTCCAAGGAGTTTAAGATTTTTTTTGTACTCGGTGATGTTCATGAACCGCTTTCCTTCTTTTTTTCTATTTCAAGAAGAAGTATGGAATAGATGGATAAAAATAAAATAATGAATGGTTTTTGAAGAAAATGAGTCTGGTATCTTTCACCTTGATGCAATTTTAAACAGTTTTAACTGGTTTAACCAAAGAGACCATATACCATATTAAATCTTGTACAGTATTCATAGTGTTTGGATACTACACAAAGCTCTGTAAAGTAGCAGTCAAGTGTCTGTTGTGTGGCTGTGCTCTGCTCTGCCTTCTCTGCATCATTAAATCTTCCCTGGCTTCTTTTCTGTGAGGCGATTTGCTGTAAAGACAAAAGACACCCCGAGCGTGGCCTCCGCTGTTGTTATGGGAACACAACAAGCGCCTCACATGGTGCAGTAGGTCAGGAAATACACACATTTTTGGGGCTATGGTGTATTTAGCTCAACATAGCCAGGCTATCTTCTTCTTGTGCTTTTAGTATTACATTACCTCATCTTTATCACAGCGGAGAACATTCCCGCAGCTTAGAGAAAGCTGGAGGAGCTGCGTCCTGTGAGTCTGTCGAATACCAACCAAATAAAAGTTCAGCCTCTGGAAGCTGAGGGCAGCAAATGGTCCAAAAATGTTTCTTGGCAAGTCTTTGTGATAACATTTGCAACTAAACACACACAAGAACACGCACCTACACACACACACACACACACTCTGCATATTAATTTTAAATGTTGACGTTTGTTTGATAGAAACTTGATTTTGGTAGAAACTGAATGCAGTTGTTATAGTTTCAAATGAAGGAAGTTAATTTAACAATTATGGATTACCTGACAATATTTACAAATATTTTTTTTATAAATCACTAGTTCCTATTTGTTATTGAAACTCTTAACATCACAATGTGATGAAAGAAGCAATAGGAAAGCAGAAATAGCTCACCAAGGACCAGCAGCTCCACCGAAGCTTCATTCTGTCCTTCGATGTCATCAGCTATAGTCACTTGGCAGAAGTACACGCCGCTGTCTCCCCACTGGACCTCTCCTATACGCAGATCTGCTGCTGCATGAAGAATGAAGACACAGTTTAAAGGCAGCAACTCTTTTTTCTTTTTTAACAAACATCCTAAATGCTTTCTGGATCAGTCTGTAATGAAGCATTTTTAAATAAATTTTTAGCATCATTTGCACCCTGAAGGATTCATTCTAAACCCAACAACAAAAATGTTTGATTGTTCTGGAAATATGTGATAAAGTGACTGCTGGGATTATTGCACTCAGCAAGTCTATTGCTGAGTGCAATAGACTTGCAAAAAAGAAGACTTGCAATAGACTTGCACTCAGCAATAGACTTTTCTATTGATAGATTTTTCTTCAACCATTTCAACCATTTCAGAAATGGGAGGATATTTTGAATCATCCAATAATAATTGTACTATATCTTGCATTGATGGAAGATGATCTTCTATCTCGATTATTATTTCCCAGGTTTTCTGAAGGTTTGTCAGAAATTTTCTTTAAACTTTACCATTTTCTCTTCTAGTTTTCAGTCTAATCTCTGACCTAAAGCTTTCTGACTATAACCCATTTCTTATGTAAGCAAAACGACTTTGTTTCTTATTCTTGAGGACGTTGCACCTCTTATCTAAAAAAGCTTCTTCAGTTCTTGAGAAATTTTGGATGAGAAGTGAAATATCCCCCAGAAACCAGAGAAGAAGTCCAGTTGCTTTCAACTTAAGCACTTAGGATTGTCATGTCCTGGATGACTGAGAGTCGATAACAACCTTTAAAAATACTTTTTCATTCCAGTTGGTTGATAATACCTAGTCATAAAAGAGTGGGATGAACTCTGTTGTTAATGCGCCATGACATTAACTTACTCATCTGACACTGGGTGTAATACTGAATCCCTGCCTACTAAAGTGTATTTTCTGAATAAAACTGCTACTACTCAAACAACAGTTTAGGAAGACTTTCTTATTTAGAGTGAAATTGATCTGGGCAGCGTGAGAAATAGGGGAAAAGTTAATGTAATGCAGACATTTTTAAAAAATCCCTGATACTTCTCGCTTTGCCCCTCTTTTGTTTGATTTCCTCATTGTGAAGCAGAGTATCCACAGTGTGTTCTCTAAGACGTGCAAAGAGGATCAGGAAACTTGAAAAATGACAGACAAATACCACTTTATAAGATTTCATCAGGTAACAAGTCCAAAAGAAATAAAGAATGGTTTAAAACTTTTGCGTAGCATTATGGATAACTAAAATGACGGTGACAGAAATGTGGTTAGAAACAATGTTACTTCTGCAGAAGTATTTCTTCCTGTGAACTGAACACGATCACAGGAATTCAACAAGTATTTTCCAGTTCTCCAGAGGCAGTTAGATTTAATTTGTGTGATTAAAATGCGATTCATAGAACTGAAATATCATTGGCTTGCTGACAATCCTGGGTCTCCGACTCTATTGTAAGAGGGTCACATGCATAAATACTTCAGACGGGAAACACTTTGTAGAATTCCCTTCCTTTTCCTGTTGGCCAAGGAAAGACAAGCTGGGACCAGTCTCAGAATCTCATATAGAATCTGAGTGTCTGCATCGCCTGTGAGTTTGTGGATTAACTTTTTACCTAATGTATGACTGTATCTTCGGAGCCGTGTGTATGAACCGTGAAGTGTTGAGCTTGTTAGCCATGTGATTACCAGAGCACCCCCTGCCCAGAGCCCACTGAGAGAGACTCCAGCCTCCCTGCGACCCTGAATAGGATTACATGGGAATGGATGACTGGACGTCTCCAAAGGCAACAAAGGATTTTACGTTTTCTGGAGGGAAACGGGGGGGGAGATTTGCAGGTTTACAACATCGCTACTCTGAAAAGTAAGACAGGAGGTGGAGTGGGACGAAGAAAAGAGTGTGATGTGGAGGGGGGAAAAAAAATTAAAACTTGGACACAGAAATACATCAGAGGGAACAAACCAGAGGTCAAGATGAATGGAGAGACAGTGTGAAAAGCCTTTTCTTTTGTCGAAAAATCCTGGCTCAAGAAGAGAGTTAGAGCTCCATAAATCCAAGGCCAGAAAACAAGCCTACCTCTCTTTGCTCAATGAGCCTTTTCAGACATACATGCATAAGAACAATCTGTCCCTTTAGTTAGTCTTTGTAGGACATGATGGCAATTCAGTGACACAAAGGGAAAACTAAGGACAGTGGAATAGCATGTTTACATCGAGAGTTTGCATCCACAGCTAAACCATCACCAACAACAATGACCATCACCAGGTGATCACGGAATGAGGGGATGGTTTCGATGAAGGGGGAACGTCTTACTGTTGATGATGGTAACGTCTCTGTTCTTGTAGTACTCTGAGAGGGTGACCGAGGAGCCGGATATGGAGGCCACGGTCCTGACGGTCCTCCTGCTGTCGGAGCAGTCGAGGTGGCTCGCAGTGGAGCCCGCCTCGTAGCCTCCGCCGACCCCTCCGCTTCCACTCTGCAGCCCGCCGCCGCCCAGGCCTCCGCTCAAGCTGTCGGGGAAGCTGAACGAGTCTCTGGTGCGGTCCCGGCAATACGACTTGTAGATCCACTTCACCATAGCGGACTGAGTGGAAACACTGGTGTACTGGCAAGGCAGAACCACTGACTGGAACAGAGTGGCGTACCTCTTCTCATCTCTCACCATCACATGGAGGCCTGAGTATGGAGGAGGGATGACACCTGTAAGGGACGAAGAAAAGAGAGGTTGGAGGACTGAGAAAGCTGGGACGGTTAAAAGAATAACGTGATTGTATATTAATGGAATGTAGAGCATAATCAGTGGCCAACCAATAAATGAGCTTGAAAATATGCTACGGTGCTAAAAACTCACATCTTCTAGTAATTCTCAACAGTTTTCAGATTTTTTTATGGTCTTTCAAACGTCTTTGGATTAATTTGTGATAATTGGGTTAATGATAGCGAATTAGTCACAATGATCTTTAAGTCAGAGTTCAGAATAAACATATTTTCTGTTATGGATCTGGACTGCAAAGATGAAAAATGAAAAAGCAACAAAAGCCCAAAGAAAACCCCTAGAAAGCCTAGAAATCACTCAACTTACAGTGAGTACAGGAAAATATTGCTCACTGGAAGTAAGAAATGCATAAATCAGGACACGTTTTGACTGATAGTTGTTACAACTGTTTGAGCTGCTTGTGTTCGCAGAAACCCAACAGAGCTTTGCTGACCCGCTGGTCACTTTGCAGCTTCTGAAGCAGTTTACCATGGAGACTACGCTAAAAAACACTAGGAACTACAGTGAAACAATAATGTGAGGAAAAAAAGAAAAAAAAAGCAATAAAGCAAACACACCCAGAAACATCTGTGCCTGCTGTTCTATGAATGTTTCAATTTGTGAGGCCAGGCTAGAGGGGGCAAAATGATCCCTACCAGTAAAAATGAGTGGAGGGGGTGTGAAAACAGATGGTCTGAGGCAATCTGACAAAGGTGATAGTGTGTCTTCTGTCACATTATCACCATTTAAAGAATCAGTTAATTTTACTCTCTTATTTTACCTTAAAACCTAAGGCTATGAAAGAACTAGATAGATTGTGCAAAGAAGAAAATCCATCTCATAAGGAGGTTGTAAAAAATATTTATAGATAAAGAGAATAAACTCTATTTAGTTGAACAATTGCAGCTAAACCACATGTCATTTACGGCTGGATTTGTCATTTAGGAATTAAACTACTGCAAGTGCCTCACACAGGTAGTTTATGTCGTGGGGGTTTCTCTATCATTTAGTATTAATTACATTATGTTATTACAAGGGAACGGCATGCACACTCGATTCTTAAAATGAGAAATAACCTGATAAGACAGATAAAACATGGATTCTCTTATCAAGTTACATAAATGATAAACGCTGAGCATCGAAAAGCTTCAGCTCAGAGTTGTGGGGCCATCCTGGATTTATTAGTTTTCAGCAAAGGAGGATTGAGTGTTTTGGATGCTTGCATTAAGGTCTTGTGAGGAAACACTAAGATTTGGATTTGTCAAGTGTTCAAAAAGATTTAAACACTTGACAAACTGACTCGATCAAGAAATTAGTTATACTGCTATGTGCTTTCTTTTTCTTGTTTCTTTAACTTTATTTGGCCCCAGAGTATTAAGGAAATATTGATCTCTTTCAGCTCTGTAACGAAATAAAACCCTAAATAGAGAAGGCATATTTTTGCGCAGAAAATAAACTGAAAACACAGAAGGAGAGAGCAGATTTAAAGTTTTTGCTTGCTATTGTCAGCTTCAGACTGTTGTCACTTTAAGCAAGAAAACTTAACATCACATCACAGGCATTGCCACACATTTCAAATTTAATTTGTATAATTAGATGAATAATGCTTTTTATTCCTGTTTTTTTTATTATTTTATTTTATAAAGCTCTGTTTATATTTGGTCATATTTTTTGTGTATTTTTAGAGTGCTGTCATGTATTTCCTCCAAACAAGTGCAGGTCAGCGCCTTTCTCTGAAAAGTCCAGTTAAAATGTAGCCCATCTAAAGAAAAAAACAAAAAACAAAAAACTTTGATCCCCAACACCCAAAGCTTCCAACCAGGCTCATTTACACACGACTTAATCCCAAACAAACATTCTTGGCATATAAAAACACACAACGAAACTGCCCCCAAACCTCAGCAGCCTTAACTAAAATCTGTCTTTGACGGTCTTTCCGCAGGCTGGATCACTTTTCCCTTAAGCTTTCTGCTCAGCCTACCTGCCAGGAAAAGGATGAAAATCCGCCACATTTCGGTTGAAGTCAGCTCCCAGGTCCCTGTGCTGAATGTTGTGTAATTTGCAGGGTAAGAGCTTAGCTTTGTTTCCTTCTCCGTCTCATCCCTGGACGATGGCACAAGATCGCAGCAGACACTTTATAACGGGACAGCAGCGCCCGAGAGGACAAGCCGTCAAGCTGAGAGAAGTTGAACACTTTCCGACTTTTGACCTTTCAAAATAAAGTGATCACTGACGCAGACAGAAAACAAAACACTTGGTTTAAAAAGTAGCTAATCATTTGTAATGGAAAATAATAAGTACTCGTGTAGCTATAGGCTTTAAATACATAGATTAAATTGTGGGATTTCAAAGTTTTCCTTCACGTAGGTTGTTCAGGACTCGCCTGCAGCATACTTTCCCTTTCTGATCTGAATCAGAACTTTAATTTGAAGATAGCACATTCCGCAGATTGAGCAAAAATACTCGTGTTAAAAAAACAAACAAAAAAAAAATATTTTATTTTGAAATAATGAAAAATCTTTTTTCCTCAGTGAAGAAGAGGCATCTTGGTGCAGCAGGTTGTGAGGCGTCAGGACGCTCCCCCACTGGGTTCGCAAACAAAAGATGTTGGAAAGAAGAGATGTGAAAATGCCTAGATTGAACCCTGACAACGTGGGTAAAGAACCAAATCACTTAATGCACTATATAGAAGTTAGACGTGTGTAGAAAAGTATGAAAAATGAACTTGAAATAGGATAATAATTTATGCTGCATTAGTTAATATCTGGAAAAATAAACGCAACCCATTTTGCACTTTGCAGATTTGCTCTCTGTCGCCATTTAGTGTCAGGATTTTAAAATGTCCTGTTTATCTTGTGGAACAAACAAACTTGGCTTTTTCAAGAGAAATATTTAATGAATATGAACAGCAGGACCAACCTCTATTTGCACATGAAACTATTTTTGTAGACTGAGTTTTATTTGTAATCCAGGTCCTCTATAACAGAAAGAAAACAGGATGAGCATTATTAGACCAACAACCAGCATAGAAAAAAGCTCCATTTTAATAATATTGTAGTTAAAAAAAAAAAATAGAAAATTGCTACATTTATATGCAGTGATACACTATTAGCCTTTTGCAAAATAAACCAAGTAAGCATAAAAAAAGCACCAAGATAAAAGACTTAATCTCTGCCGATGAGGTAGTGTTTTAAATAACTACAGCTTTCATACCCAGCAGACGCAGATGTTTAAAGGCGCTTATTCAAAAAGAAAAACACATTAAAATACCAACTAATCTAATTGCATTGATCACCTTCCACGCATTTGGCAGCATTTTGTAACAGCCTTTGTATTTGTACAAAACCAAATCTCTGACTGGAATGTGATCCAACAAAAACAACTTAACATGTAACTGAATGTAAAAACTGAAGCAGTATTTATAAAAATCAAACGCATTATGTACATATTTCTCAGAAAGAACAAGGTAAGCATCAAAGCATATTTACATTTTGATTTCTAAGGAGGATAATTTTTCAAAGTATGTGATATTTGACATACAATCATGTGAAGACTTCCACTTACTATAATTAGCTCAACACATATGAGGAAGTCGTTTGGCACTTTAAATAATATGCAGCAATCCTAAAAATATATATTTTGTGTGGTGGTTATGTGAAATGTTGCCCACCTCCTAATGTGTTTATTATCTGGATTTGGAATGCAGCTGTAATTAATTTTTGGTTGCAGTTAAAGGGGCAGTATTATGAATTTTCCAGGTACATAGTGTCTTTTATAGCACAATGTTTCATCAGCATTGCACTGACTAGTAACTTGTACAGTGGGCTCAGCAATCATCTCAAAACAGATTGGAAAACACTTCGTTCGTAAGTTGCAACAAGATTTTCTGGTCTATTTTCTTTTCTTGTACGATAATTGATAACTGAACAATCAAGAGTCTATATCATGTTTTAAAATCTCAGGAAAAATTCCAATGGGGAATAATTTGTGCATTAGGTTAAAAAATATATATATAAAACTGTTAAACAAATCTGTGATTTAACACAAATTATCTAGTCATTACCCTAGTCGTGAGAAGCTAGACCCTAGTCCAGCTTCTCTAAGGTTTGTCGCGGTAATCGTCTTAGCGGGGGTCTCTGCGATCATAGCTGCGTCGCTCATCATCATAGCGGCGGTCATCATCATAGCGTTCATTGCGGTCACTGGGTTTGCTGCGTCGGTCATCGTAGTCGCTGCGTCGGTCATCGTAGTCACTGCGTCGGTCATCGTAGTCCCTGCGTCGGTCATCGTAGTCGCTGCGTCGGTCATTGTAGTCGCTGCGTCGGTCATCGTAGTCGCTGCGTCGGTCATTGTAGTCGCTGCGTCGGTCATCGTAGTCTCTACGGCGGTCATCATAGTCGCTTCGGCGGTCATCATAGTCGCTTCGGCCGTCATAGTTGCGTTCACTCCTCTCCTCGTAGTTGTCACGTGGATTAACTGCTTTGTTCACACTGGAATCATCATGTTTGCTCTTCTCTCCTTCACCATTTCGAACAGACTCTTCGTCACCAACTCTGCAAATTAGACAACAAACAAACGCTGAGTTAAAGCTTCGCAGATGGAGAAGAAACAAAGGTAGGCGCCCAAATAATTAATCAAACTTGCTAGTTCTTATTGGGATTGTGTAATAAAGAAATTTGTCACGGGAGAATTTTAGGTAATCAGTACGCTCCAGTATGAAGACCTGAGCGTCCACGGAGAGTACACGCGGAGTCCGTGCGGTTCAGGGAATGCCCAAATGTGTGGGCGCCTTTTAGCTTACCAGAAATTGTGTGCAATGTAAAAAAACTATCCCTCACTGCTAAGAGACATGCTGAGCTGCCCTAGATGGCTGCTAACGTTAATTCAATATTTGGAAGTGTGACCAACATGAACTGAATAGCTTTGTTCACTTCCTCCACTGCCATTTCCAAACTAAACCCATACTACTATTCTAAAACAGAATGGAAAATTGACCTTATTGTCCAGAACTACTTCTTCTGCTTACTGATTGGTCTGATTGATATTCTACCAGAGAAATCAACTTCAGTGGCAGAAAGACCGGAGAGCTGAAGGGAGATGAGAATCAGGCGGAATAGCATAGGAAAACAGTTGCCAGGCAAATTAAAAACTACATTTGTTTTAATATTCTAAAAAAAAAAAATTGCCACAGTTAATTCCTATTAATCAAAATTACAAGTACAAATATTTCCTGTTGAAATATCTCTTGAGTTACAACCTGATTAGCCTTAGTCAGGGACAGTAGAGAATCTTGTCCATCAGCTTAGATTTGCATTGCTTTCTAACTAGCATGTTTCGTTTACAGTTAGAGCATGGAAGAAATGATAATAATAATTAAAAAAAAACATTACGGTGCCATGGCATAATTCTCCTTGTCTTCGTTCTTCTTTCGGCAACAACAGCAATAGATGATAATGATCAGTAAGACCAAACCTATGGCGACTGCTCCAATGATTGCTGCAGTTGAACCGATGTTCATGGATGCTGCATAAATCAAAGAAGATGAGTTGAGACAACAATGAATAGCAGAATTAATTGTTTTGATGATCAGCTCTGTTAGAAGGTCATATATTACGTGGCAAGACTGAGACTGTGAGGTTGCAGGAAGCTGAGCGAATCTTGTTTTGTGAGATGCAGATGTAAAATCCTGAGGTCTCTTTGGTGATGTTGTACAGAGACAGGATGCCTCCCTCTGAAAGACAATCACAAACAAAACAAATAATGATGTATACCAAAGTCATTACTTATATGTAAGGCTGCACAACATCTCAGAAACATGCAGTATTATTTCTAAAAATCTGGGATCACAACATCTGTTGCAATCAACATTCAATAGTGTAATAAACCAATAGTGCATTGATGCAGAGGACTGTAATGGTTTCTTATCACTATGAGAGTTGCAAGCAGATACCTAATTAAAAAATTAACCACGCATCAACCTCATTTTATTGCACTGCTGCATATCAAAGTACTAACTCATAATTAAATTTCATTGTGAGCAGAGTTAAACAGTTGTCATTATATATAATTGCAAACTGTTTGCATTTTTCATCCATATTTTACTTTCATGAACTAAAATGCAAAGTTTTCAACACAGTATGTAATTTTGGATCACTGCATGTTGCTGCAAACTGAAATCTCTCAGGATGACTAAATTTGAACTTTAATTGATTTCATCCTGGTTATCCAAATTCACACTGAATTGTCTGTCAGTTGATAATTTCACGAGAAAAAAAAATACTATTGGCGAACGTTAAACATCAAGACAGTTTTGTCTTGTTTCTTTTTTTTAATCAGGTCCACAATTGTTTGTAGAGGTCTACTCTTTGTATTTTAGTAGCTTCAGTCGATCTGATATACTTACTATCAGTGGTTCTGGGTTCATGAGCACGAGGATTGTTTAGGACATCATAACTGTTCCACTTGTAAGTTGGAGGAGGAGACCCTTCCTCAGAAACACAGGTGAGGTTGATGTTTTGGCCGTACGATGCTGTACCCTGAATCTTGCAGATGGGTTTAGATGGAGCCACTTGAAAAAATTAAAGACATAAAGAGAGTGGTTTTATTTGTCTTTGAGAAATATTTTTTAAAGACAATAAAAAAACTAAATTCCCATGCATAGCACACTGAGACTATTAAAAAAAATAATAATAAAAATAAAAACAAGTGCAGTTACACTATCTCCCAGAATGCATATTAAGCCTTACCTAGAACAGTCAATGTTGCTGTGTCAGAAATTTTGCCTTGTTTGTCCCTGGGGATCTGGACAAGACACTGGTATTTGTTGTTGTCTGAAATTGTGACAGAGTTAATCTTAAGGTCAGCTTTCCCAGATCCACCGTTAATATTTGCATCCACAGACACCCGATCCTCTATGTTAATGTCTGTGTCTCCAGAGGGATGATAGTGGGTGAGAATCACAACCTGTTAAGAATCACAGCGTTAGAGAAATATGTTGATTGATTCAAATGAAACACAGACATAGAGATACTTACATCACCAGCAAACCATGTGATCGTGACCTGTGATGGATTTGATATAACGCTTGTAAATGTGCAGGGTAGTGTGATGTTGTCTCCTCTGGCAAACTCATACTGATCCTTTGGGATGTCAACCTGGAGGGCAGCAGCAGCTGACCACACTGTGATAAATTAAAAAGATGGTCATTTCCATTATCATGTGATTACCTGTTGTTGAATAAACAGCAATAATGCTAAACACTGTAGCTCCTCACAAGGACTCAGCAGTGCTTCTGAGTTCACAAAAATACCAACTCACAATTTTAATCAACCATTTATTTTTTGAGTTTATTTGCTTTAAAGTATTTAACATTAAAAAATTAGAAACAAGGCACATGGCAGTGACTCGACCATTAGTGCAGAGGCCTTAGTCCTTGGTGCTGTTGTCACAGGTTCGAGTCCCTACCCCAGGCGCCATCTGTCTGTCTACCCGCCTTCCTGTTTGTCAAATGTCAAATAAAGCCCTTTAGAACCAACTCTCTTTAAAAGTAGGAACAAGTGCATCATGAGAGCGTGTAAAGGACCACTTTTCCAAAATGATCGACAAAAAGGCTCATTTAAAAAGAAAATTATTCAAATTTCAAAATACTTCATATGTGGGATAAAGGAGAAAAAAATGGATGGATGGAAATACTTCATTGATCTCATAGTGAAATTAAAAAAAAAAATACAATAATGCCAAAAGTATTTGTTAAATCGTTTAACAAAATGGTTTTTGGATATTTTATTATTAAAGTTTTTATTATTTTTTCAGAACACAAATACAAATATTCAACCCTTCCCAATCCCACCCCATAACCCTACATTGAGAACGTAAGAGGCAAACAAAACAAACAAACAAACAAACAAACAAAAAAGGCATCCAGGTCTGATATTAACCATGGCTGTTAAAGTAAAATCTTGTATATTTTAAACAAGGCCAAAGGTTTTGAATGTCTGCTGGGCCTTGCGTTTGAAAATGGACAGCGTTGATTCTTAGAGCTGCTGCTTGACACAATGTTTTTCATAAAACTGTTAAGGGAAAAATAATTTAAGTTAAAAAAACAAAAAAACAAAAAAAAAAAAGAAAAAACAGAACCGCTTAATTAGAGAACGGGTTCTATGGTCTCTCTTTTTTTTCAGAAAGTTGATCCTGGAGGCGCGCAAACAGGTGTGGTCGTTAGATAACAAGGAAACAGGCAAAGACCCATTTACAAATACTCACCCACACAAAGCAGGACCAGTGTAGAAGTTCTCCTCTCCATGGCAAAGGTGGTAAGTTAATTAAAACAAACTCACAGCGCAATTTTTTTTTGTCAATAAAATAAGAAAAGCGGGTAGCCGAGCGTCCAGGTGTTCATTTACATCGAAACCTGAAGACTGCCGACGGTGATGAGCCCGATGGGTGCGTCTGCTGCCCGATTTGACTGACGGCTGTCTCGGCCAATCAGCGCACAGCCTGCTCTGCAGGTGACTCGTTTTGTCCCGCACACCGCGCAGGTTCCTGCCTGTCCTGACATACAGCAGCACAGCCAGTCCTCGTTAAAGACGTCTCGTTTCCACGAACTGGTTGAAAGCAGAACATGCTATTCTGTTTCACGTTCCTCTCTCTCACTCAGCTGGTGAAGATGTTCAACTTTGCTCGCCATAATTTTAACAGAAATGTGTTTGGTTTCTTCCCTCATCTCGCAAGAATCACCTTAATGATGTTGTAAGACAGACACATACCAGGAGCCTCGCAGGACTGATTAGCTGGCGGTAATTTGCTCTCGTTGCTAATGTGTGCGGCTGCGTAACAGAAGAGGGGTTTTTTTACGGTCAGACTGGTTTGGCAGGTATTACACAAAATGACTCAGACGTGCCAGAACAGACACAGCAAAACAGGAAGGAAGAATTCAAAAAGAATGCAACCTCTGGTTTTGATCTCTGTGAAGAATATATCTAAATATTACACACAGTTACCATAGCCTGGATGTGGCAGGGACCCGTGGTGCTATAGGCTACGTGTGATGAGTTCAATTTTTTTCTTTTTCTTTTTTGAACGAAAAAGACTCAAATCATTTGACAGTGTTTGCCTGAAGGCTTTAGTATATTCATTGCCTGTAAACAACTGCATGTTGATTTGATTTTACGTAATAATTTTATTAATTTCCACAGCCTGTCTGATGAACTTTAGTCAGCGTCAAAGCTTAAGGGAAATTAGGACTGTGGCGAGTACTGCACCGCCCCCTGGTGGAGCTAAATAGACGTGCAGTTAAAATGTCTGAACAACATGAAAGATATTTAAGTATTTTTTTTTTTTTGCCAAAAGCTGTCTGACTTTACGAATCAATTAATGATGAAACATTTATTTAGTTTTTTTTTTTGTTTGTTTGCTTCAAAATTTAGGCTTTAGTGTAAAATAAAATACCTACTGCCCAGCTATGAATGAATATTGAAATTCTATATGCTGTGGGGAAAGTGCATTTCCCCACATTTTTTGCATTTTATTTAATATAAAATCAGTATCTGTTTAATAAACAACAACAAAAATAGTACTTCATATTTGGTGCAAAAACCTTTGTTTACTATTTTTTTCTATATTTTCCAAATTGTTTCCTATAAGATCTTGACCAGGTTGGAATTTTGGTCCACTACTATTTATATGCCATGGTATAAATTTGACTTTCTGAAATGAGTGACAAAGTATATTGAACTTTTCCAAAGGGTTCTAATTATTCTAGAAGTTATTGTGTCTGTCCCTTTATTTCACAGCCAATAGTTGTGAAGGGAAGAGTGCATGAAATCCCCCTTTTCTACACAAAACAGGTCAAATTTAAGGTTTGCCATCTCTAAAAAGCTAATTTATTACAATTTAATATAATTACAATCCGCTTAGACTCATTACAATCAATGGTGTCAAATTATCATGCACTTCATAAAAGGTTTTCATATTATCTGACTAACAACTTGAGTACTTCTTTGTCTGTTTAGCTTTAGCATTAACTTTGGTCCTCTAGTCCAGCAGAGCCTGTTTGTGCTAGTTTTGTACATGATCTCTGTGGCTTCTGTAAATACATGAAATGAGCATGTTTTGATTGATGTGCTCATGTGACTGGCATCTGGTCCTGAGCAGAAAGCCGCAGAGGACAACCACATATAGATGAAAACTGAAACAGCAGATGACTGAAAGCAGAAATGCAACAATTCAAAAATAAATCCTATGTTTTGGAACTGCATGTGAATAGCAGTACTTAAGGTTTGTTTCTTGTGTTCAGATGATAGGTGAGCATGAAAAGTGAAAGAAAATAAGTGGAACTGGCAGAACGTAAAAAAACTGATCACGTTAATCATTATCATAGCTTTTTGTGGTTTGCTTATTCATAATGTTTTTGCAGCTGTGCAAATTCTGTTTTTGTGCAATAATGTGGCACTTCTCAGAAACAACTTCCTGTTACTTTGAGTTATGTTTCTGTTCTGTCTGTGCTAGTTTCTGTCAACGTAAGATTGCACTGCATCATTACTTTATCATCTAACGCCACTGTAATCCCACACTGGACATCTAAACTCATTTTAATGTCTTGTTTATAGTTTCTCATGACGTTTTCTATGTCATTCAAGGATGAAAATACTGGAATAGTAGACATGACAACACAGCTGGTGCAAAATTTCTTTCCAAACTTGCCAAAACAGAAACAGTCGACAAATCACAAAGTTGCCTATATGTAGTAATGTAAGCAATGATTTATTTTTGCAAGCACTTAACAGGATAAATTGGTCAACACAGTTTAAAAAAATGAGAGAATTTGATTTAATTATTTTATTTTTAATTTGCTCAATTCACTTCACTCAGAAAGATCAAATTTATAACAACTCATACAGCTCCTTACAGGACTAGAAAGTCTTATTTATATCCAGAAATCTACCATCAAATCAGTATGGTACATTGACTTGATCTACGTACAGATTCATTGTCATACGTACATTCTAATTTTAATATAAATTTATGAAATTACACAGCTAAATTCAGGTTACAATGAGGGATTTAAATAAAGGAGAACAAACACAGAATCATTGGTCCAGAAAGACTTTCTATAGTCAAAAAAAAAAACAAAAAAAATTTATGGCAGTTTTTTCTTGACATTATTTTGTCATTCATAATGATGAATCCTTGAAAACATCCCAAAATGTTCAGAATTTTTAGATCAAAAAGTAAGATGGTATAAAAAAATTTATATAAAGAGCAATCGCAGTTGTAACAAATAGAAAGGGAGCAGAATGCAAAAGCTTTGCAATGATAATGACAAAAAGCTCATTTCTGAAAGAAGCTAAAAACAAACAAAAATATTTATTAGTATTATTTCCTTAATAATACCAATAAATGAACAACTGAACAATAACTAAACTTGTCTGATTTTAACCTGAATGAAATGAACTGCTGACCAGTGAAGGTTGCCGAATAAACAATAAAAGAAATGTATATTTCTGGTTATTTGCCATATTTAGATTCCAATTATACAATAACTTAAGGTAATATGTGGACACTAGGATTCAATCAATTGAAATATGTTTAGATTAACTATGCATACTGATAAAGAAGGTTTCCGGTGGTCTGGAACTGAGCAAGAAATATGTGGTGTTTGTTGGCTGATGTGCCATTTATGTTTTCATGTGAACTCTGCACACTAAGGGTAACTCCCCAACAGCTCATAAGTAAATAAAGTGAATTTACCAAAGCATGTTTTCCGGACAAAATCTTAACAAAGAGCAGTACAGAAAACATGCATAAATTCTCAAGGGTTCTGCTGACTGCTTCTTGTGTCAAGAAAATAAAAGTAGATTTGACTGAGGAGAATTTACAGAATTCTTTTAATCCATTCCTTTCCTACATCTCAGACCATTCAGATTGTTAAAGCCATGAACAGCAACTATAATAAATAACTGCTTTAGGGTGCGGAGAAGAGTTGGACAAATATATGATCATATATTGGTAATCAATATCTGATCACTGGGAGAAACCAATGTATGCTTGTTTACATTTTACCAGAGCCCCATAACACCAATTGAGACACAAGAAATCCCCAAGTCAAGAGAGAATGCAAATTTGATATTACAAATACCAGAAATATTTAAAAATTCTGTTGTATGAATGCAAAATCTAATTCATGGATCTGTTAACCTGAGTTCTGTGAGAGTTTAAATGTCTTGTGTCATGTTTAGAGCTAAAGGGTTAGAAAAAATGCATTTATTGTGGTGCCATGGCATAATCCTCCTTGTCTTCATCCTTCTTTCGGCAGCAAAAGCAAGAGAGAATAACGATCAGTAAAATCAAAGCTGTGATGACTCCTCCAATGATTCCTGCAGTTGAACCGATGTTTGTGGACTCTACATAAATCAGAGAAGATGAGTTGAGACAACAATGAATAGCAGAATTAATTGTTTTGATGATCAGCTCTGTTAGAAGGTCATATATTACGTGGCAAGACTGAGATTGTGAGGTTGCAGGAAGCTGAGTGAATCTTGTTTTGTGAGACGCAGATGTAAAATCCTGAGGTCTCTTTGGTGATGTTGTACAGAGACAGGATGCCTCCCTCTGAAAGACAATCACAAACAAAACAAATAATGATGTATACCGAAGTTATTACTTATATGTAAGGCTGCACTACATCACAGAAACATGCAGTATTATTTCTAAAATTCTGGAATGACGACATCTGTTGCAATCAACATTCAATAGTGTAATAAACCAATAGTGCATTGATGCAGAAGAGTGTAATGGTTCCTTATCTGTGTCATTTATTCTAAAATTTGTACAAGCAGCTGCTGCTCTGTAAGCGGATAACTAGTTAAAACTATAACCAAGAGACAATCTCATTTTATTGCACTACTGGATTTCAAAGTACTAACTCATGAGTAAAAATCATTATGAACAATGTTGAAAAGTTGTCATAACAAATAGTTGCCAACTGATTGCATTTTTTTCTCCATGTTTTACTTTCATTAATTAAAATACAAACAATTTGCTGAATAGTATGTCTTTTTGGATCACAGCGTTCCTACAAAATGCTGAGTTCGCAGCCAAAATGTTCTAGGAAATCCATGTTCTGCTTCTTTGACGGTCTGTGGTTAGAAGGCCTCAGTGTCCTAATTTTTAGCTCATTCAGATTCAAGTTAGCACTCTGGATGTGCCACTTAAAACTTTAAGTTCGACTGGTTTCACTTTGTCCAAATTCACACTGAATTGTCAGTTGATAATTTCACAAGAAAAAAAAACTTTTGACAAAAGTTAAAGATCAAAATCGTTTTGGGAGAATGTCTTGTTTCTTTCACTGAAATGAGAAAGTCTTGTAGAAATTGCCCTGCATAACTCAGATGTGAACTGCATTGCTCAACTCCACAATGGTTTACTCTCCTTTGTAAGGCTTAGTAGCTTCAGTCGATCTGATATACTTACTATCAGTGGTTCTGGGTTCATGAGCACGAGGATTGTTTAGGACATCATAACTGTTCCACTTGTAAGTTGGAGGAGGAGACCCTTCCTCAGAAACACAGGTGAGGTTGATGTTTTGGCCGCACGATGCTGTACCCTGAATCTTGCAGATAGGTTTAGATGGAGCCACTTGAAAAATTAAAAGGATAAAGAGAGTGATTTTGTCTTTGAGAAATCATTTTTAAAGAATATAGAAAACATTTCCTGTGCATAGTACATTGGAATTAAAAATAAAATAAATAAAAACACTGTTACTTACAATCAGATTAAACAAGTGCAGTTACACTATCTCCCAGAATGCATATTAAGCCTTACCTAGAACAGTCAATGTTGCTGTGTCAGAAATTTTGCCTTGTTTGTCCCTGGGGACCTGGACAATACACTGGTATTTGTTGTTGTCTGAAATTGTGACAGAGTTAATCTTAAGGTCAGCTTTCCCAGATCCACCGTTAATATTTACATCCGCAGACATCCGATTCTCAAATGTAATGTCTGTGTCTCCAGAGGGATGATAGTGGGTGAGAATCGGAACCTGTTGAGAATCACAGCGTTAGAGAAATATGTTGATTGATTCAAATGAAACACAGACATAGAGATACTTACATCACCAGCAAACCATGTGATCGTGATCTGTGATGGATTGGGTATAACGCTTTTAAATGTGCAGGGTAGTGTGATGTTGTCTCCTCTGGCAAACTCATACTGATCCTTTGGGATGTCAACCTCGATGGCAGCAGCAGCTGACCACACTGTGATAAATTAAAAAGATGGTCATTTCCATGATCATGTGATTATGTGTTGTTGAATCGGAAGAAAGCAACATTTGAATTTTATGCTAAAACTACAATTCACAAAGACACCTCATCCTAACTGAGTTATTATTTTTTTTGTAAAAAGGGAACAAGGACACTATAGGATTTTGCAGTGAACCACACAAGTCAAGTTACTGACAAAAATGAAAAAAAGAATCAACAGTTCATGATCAAACTGTTTTGTAACCTCTTCTTTCAGTCTTCTACATCATGTTCCAAATGATTATGCAAGTGATATTTTCTCAGATTTTCTTAAACGGTCACTGCAAATGATGGTCAGTATAATTTTTAAGTCATTAACTATTACAATATAAATCAAATTTTACTGAACAAAGCTCCCCATGAAAACAGTATTTTTTTGCGGGGGAGTATTATTTCTTTAATAATACAAATAAATAAATAACTGAACAACTAAACTTGTTGATTTTAATCTGAATAAAATGAATTTTTTATTTTCAATAATAAAAACTCAAAATGCACTGTTCCAAATTATTATGCACAGCAGATTTTCTAAACATTTTATGGGTCATGAAGAACTGCAATCGGTCATTGTTTGAACGTGCAGCATTAAATGGTCTCATGTACTAAAATCCAAAGCTATTTCAGAAGCATCTTAACAGACAGAGTTACATGTTAACATAGGATCTTCTTTGGTGTCACCTGCACAATTCTTGCATCCATTGAACTTGTGAGTTTGTGGAAAGTTTCTGCTTGAATTTCTTTGCAAGATGTCAGAAAACTTTCCCACAGCTGCTGTTGGATATGAACTGCATCTCACCTTCACATCTTCTGCTTGAGGAAACTCCAAAGGTTCTCAAAAGGTTTGAGGTCAGAGGAGGATGGTGACCTCACCATGAGTTTCTCCCCTTTTATGCCCCCAGCAGCCAATGACACAGTGGTATTCCTTGCAGCATGAGATGGTGCATCGTCATGCATGGAGATGATTTTGCTACTGAAGGTTCGGCTCTTCTTTTTGAACCATGACAGAAAGTGATCAGTCAGAAAATCCATATACTTTGCTGAGGTCATTTTCACAACTTCAGAGTCGCTGAAGGTGTGATTTTCTCCCTATGGTTTTGGCCCAAATCATGATTCCACCACCTCCTTGCTGACATCACAGCCGTGTTGGAACGTGGTGGCCATCCACCACCAATCTACTACTGCGTCCATCTGGACCATCCAGGGCTGCTCAGCAGTCATCAGTGAACAAGTCTGTTTGAAAATTAATCTTCATGCACGGCTGGGCCGACTGCATAGTGAATAGTCAGTTCATGCACCGCAAGCCTCTGGAGGATCCTTGAGGTTCCAGAGGCACCAGGAGCTACAAATAACTGTTTGCTGCTTTGTAAGGGCATTTTAACAGCTGCTCTGTTAATCCCATGAACTTGTCTAACAGAAACCTTCCTCATTATCCCTTTATCTGTTCAAACCCATCTTTGTTCTGAATCATAAATGTCTTCACAGTTCAGTTTTGGTTAAATATCTCATGTTTTCATACCTTGCCATACAGCACTACACTTTCTGAAGATTTTCGTCAGCAAATAGATCCTTTCTCTTTGCCATACTGCTTGAAACCTGTGGCCTGCTTAATAATGTGGAACATCCTTCTAAAGTAGATTTCCTTTAATTGATTTCACCAGACAAACTATTCAACCAGCTCTCTGAAATTAATCATAGTGACTCAAAGAGCCCTGACACATAATACCATCTATAAATTTAATAGCACAACAAAATATTTTATTTTTATGACACTTAAATACAATTTGCATAATACTTTGGAACACGGTGTAGTAAGGGGCCAATAGTGAGCCTCTTTCAAAGCGCATTAAAATGTTTGTGGTTTGCATTACTGTTTGAAAATGACATGGCAGATGTATTTGCTCGACGATTTATCAAAAGTTCCACATATTCCTGTCAACAGCCTTCACAATCTACAACAACTCTTTGAAGAATTAATGAGTTGCCACATTTAATTTCCCTTTGGGATTACTAAATAACTTTTGAATTTGAATTTGAGAGGATGACATAAAAATGTCATCCAAAAGCAACTTCTAATAAGAAAACCTACTTACCGAGACAAATCAGGGCTGAGACAAAAGTCTTGCTGTTCTCCATGGTGAAGTTTTATTTGCTCAGACTAATCTAAAGTGCTGTTGCTGTGTGCAAGCACTTGTTTTAGTGAGTGCAACTCGTAATCCGCTTTCGGTCTGTCAGAAAACCACAGCATAATTCATCATCCACTCAGCGGTCTTCTTCCTCTGCACAGCAACTTTAACTGTATTTTCTCTTTGCATAAACAACTCAAATTGAGGAACAGAAATAATTATAATAACAACGTTAATATGCTTAAACAATAAGCATATGAACTTCAGTGTTGGAAGAACTGAAACGAAAGTCTGAAACGAAAGTTTTATTGTTCAGTTCAAGTTTCACCTTTATCTGTTAATCCTCGTGAAAAGATTTTTGTTTTGATGATTATGCAAAATATAATGATGTGATGTTTTTATAAAACATGAAAAGCATATTATCAAACTATGGAGTTAATAAATTAGATGTACCAAAGCGTGTTTTTCTCTGAATTCACCTGCAAGCTTCCGTCACTTTGCTTCTCTTGGTCTCTGACCGACAGGGGGCGCCCTAATCTCCTATGTGTCTGTTCAGCACGCAGCATCGCTTCTGAGAAAATCTGAGGCTCTGCAAACGAATAACTTATAAAAGCAGTTGTTGGACCGTCGATGCAGCATATGTATGTTGCATAAAATGAATCCTCCATTTGTTTAAACTATACTGAAATCTACAATAAAGAGTCAAGATGCTGTCAATGGAGTTTGGCCCAGATGAGAAGGAGTCTATGCCATTATTATATGTTTATTTTTAAGTGATGTGGAGTTCTTCAGTGCATGTGTTGGAGCGCTGCCCTGCAAAAAAACCTGGATGAGCCTCCAGCTGGTCTGAATGTGTTTCCGGGTAAAACAGAAGCAGATACATAGTCCATGTCTGAACATTTGAGGCAACCGTATCTTCTGTCATAAGTGATAAAACAAGGAGAAATGATGAATACCCCCTCAGTCAGACAGCAGAACCCTCACTACATCAGGGTTCAGCAGCACATCCTTCTACCTTCACCGCCTCGCGCCGGCGACTCTGTGTGCCAGACAATACTGAGAGAGCTCTTCATGTAAAATCCATTTATCGTCTGGTCATAAACTCTCTTTCCCTTCTATCTGCAGTGCTTGAAGAGGTAATAGTCTGCTATAAAAGCATAGGTCTGTTGTTACATTGTCCTGCGTTTTGTTTGTTTCCCTCTGGTCTTTTGAACAGAAGTGCTGGAAGAAATCCAATGGAGGAAACGGTTGTCCTGCTGTTTATGATCAGCTCTTCACTTGTTTCATCACAAACAGGTGCAACCAGTCAAGTATTCGCAGCAGCCACTTTGTCACCTTGGGCTGCCGACTGCAGAGACTGAAGTGAAAGTTGAGGGGACTGAGGGACAACGTGTTGACCTTTCCCCCTCCCCCCCATGGTAAAGGCTAGACATTGATCAAACTCTCTAGTCTCCTCGTCGTTGTTTTTTCTTTCTTCTCTTTCAGTCAGATCCTCCCATTCCCAGCCTCACACCCCCCTTCACTTCATTGGATCTTATCTAAATGGTTTTGGGACGTTCTTGAGCGACGCAAACAAACACATCTTTAATGCACTCATGTAAGTGAACGGAGGGGAAAAAAACAAAAAAAACAGATGAACTTCTGCAACTTATTGCAACAACAAAGTATCTCTCTGCCCTCTAGTGGCTTTTTTAAAACCTTCACATATAGATGGCAGATAATACAAAAGGCCAGATGTTATTAGTAACACCTTATCAATAATAATAAGATGCATGAAGAGGAGGAAGGTAAGCCACTGTCTTTTCCCTCCTCATCTATTTTTTGTGGGATTCATGTATCAATTTCACCTCCTGTTAATCTCACAGATTTCCATGGAAAACAAAGTCATTCATTTTCTTTGAAACAAAATATTATTTTGAAATTTAGACTCAAGCATATTAAACAATTTGCTGAGAAGACCCTTAAACTTCTGAGAGTGTTTGGTTAAGAGTGAAGAAACACTCTTTACCTCTGAAGAAGCCTTTTGTTAGCAACACTTTCTGATACTTGTGTCGAGCCTCGCCCTTGTCTTCATTACATCAGCGGCACTTTTCTTGTAAGATAATGATGCTTACCTTGTTCACACCTCTACATTCATACAGGAAGTCAAATCCAGGGGTCTCATTTAGCATCATTGGCTCATCTTCTATATAAGCCTGTTTGTCTTTGTCCTGGACAGAAGCCTAATGAGGCGTAAAGCGCACCTTTTCACATGAATGCACAAGTAAAAGTCTGAGTGTCTTTATATAACATAGGGCAAGCTCTGTCAAACTTTCTTTGCAGATGCATGGTTCTTCTTGAAATAATGCAGCAAGTCAAGAGGAGAACAAGATGTTTTTTTTTTGTTCTTTTGTTTTCTGAACAAACTTATTACATAAACACAAAACGAAGCCAAAAAAGGAAAGATACCGTTTGTACTTTACTGGCAGCGATTTACACCATGCTTTTATTCCCTCTTTTAACTTAACAACTTAAGTTAGACAACTTAACAGAAGTTAAGTTGATCCATTTTTGTTCCTGTTTTCTTTTTTCTGTGGACTTTAAGTTGTGTCTTGTGTCCTGAATGTGAAAAAAATTAATAAAGATATGGTGAGATCCCTTTTAAGATTGCAGTTACGACAGAAGATTATTATCAATAATTTAAAAGTTTATTGAAAAATATTTAAGTCTTTTATATTTTCTCTCTCACTTTTTCTGTTTTACTTGGAAAACTATGAGATTTTTTTCTGACCTTGTTACTCTATTTTTCTTCACCCAACCAATAGAATGGCTGACAATCTAAATCTTCTGCTCCGCCCCCATCTCTTCTCTTTCTTTTACTTCTTCTCATGGCTTCTGGCTTCTTTACTACAGGTCGTACATTTTCTCTTTTTAACAAATGTATTGAGGAACAAAGTATTTACTGATCCAGCGCCGACTTTGTGGATTTCCGGTGCATAAACAAATCATCTCGTCCTCAAACATAACCTGCTCCCACGTAATTTGTCAATAATTGATTCTTTTGAGGACAACAAAAGGCAGCCTGAGTACGATCAGTGGTTCTTGATTCAGAAGTGGCACCTTGCACGGTAGAGGCTTTTATTTTTGAGCTCATCGGTCAGAGTTGTTGGCTGGGAAGATTTCATCCGATCACCAGCTGCCATTGTTCTCTTTAACTCCTGTTCTAATTTCCGTCACGTCGCCCGAATGTGTGAGCTCACTATAGATTCAACATGGCTTTATGTTCTTTATCAGGAGATGTGGTAAAGGTTAAATGAGCTGTTTTCATTTGTCTGATCGTGCTCAAAGCCTCGCAGCATCTTCGCTTGATATTTACATGGCATTTCAAGCTCGAAGACAGACTTTTTTTTTTTTTAATATCTTTGATTTTATTTGCGCTAAGCCGGAATCAGTTCATTAAGGTTGATGTATTATCGAAATAGAGGATTTTATTTTCTCCCTCTCTTCGGTTTAGAAGTGTAAAATTTCCCCACTGATTCGCCTCTGCTTAACAGAGAGAAGTTTCTGGCTCTCCTGGCTTTATCATCTCACCTGACTGAAAAAGCAAATGAAAAGTAAGGTGGGGTTGTCAAGCACTTATTACAAATGCAATTTTCTTCCAGCTCTCTGTAAACCATAGCAATAATCCAGGATTATAGACGTCCTTTCTCCAAGTGGCATTGCCGTCCTGCTGCTCTGAGTCATTGACGTGTTGTGTTTATGGCCAAGCATCTTCTACTACATCAATGTTTCGCTGCCAATGTAAAAAGGTGTTTCATGGATTACTTTTCTCTTTCGGTGCCTGCTACTGAAGGTTTAGAGGGCCTTTATTGTCTCTTACACCTGTGGAGAGCCAGTTCAGATGCAATGCTGTCTGGAGACCAGCTGAGCATTTGTCGGATGTGAGTTCGACTGTTTGGTCTTCAAAATCCCAGCATCTTCTATCACTTTAAGAAAGAACAAATGCTCTTTCTCTTTTCGTAATGTCTTAGACTCTTTCAGAAAATGCTGGTCAATGTTTCAAATGAGTACAGATGAAAGCAATACTGTGAAAAAGTGTCATAAAGTTTTAACATTTTTGCTGACAAAGTTCACAAGACCAAGTGGTATCCCTGCAATTCATTTAAAACATTTCACCACTTGAGGATTTTGTCACCGAGTTTTAGTTCATCTTGTTTAGAATTAACATGATACAAGCCATTTCACTTCCAAAATTGGAAAGACAAGAGAACATGACGTTCAAATAAGGCAGACGTGTCTTGATTTTCAAGTCAAGGAAAACTAAATTTACCCATATCAGATAACCAATGAAATAGTTTACAAGTTTTAATGTTAGCTTCTGCTGTTAAAAAAAATATAAAAATGAACATGTTTAAAGCCTGACTTGCACAGATGGATGGACATATGCAGTAAAACATTTGGGATTGGACGTCTGTTTTTGTCTGCTATCAATAACAGTGGGAGTTTGTGGCAACTGTGATGTGTGTTGTGTTGTGTGTTTCTTGTGCCATTGCCAAAGATAAATTTCCATTTTATGTAAGTTTAATGGACAATAAAGGAGTCTAAAGTCTAAAGTCTAAAACAGCAGAGTTCATTTGATTTCACAACAAATCCAAAGCATTCTGTCTCAATGATGTCGACCACCGTGCACCCACTTCATCACCTCATTTCCATGGACATGCCAGAGTCTTACGGGAACATATTTCTTGTGACTGCGAGAGGGATGGAGAGCGTCCACTCTCAGGCATCGCGCACAGCATCACTTGATCGCGCACCTCCCCGCGCGGATGATGTGGTTCGCCGGCGTGGCCATCGCCTCCGTCTACGGGGCCATCAGCGTCCTGGGACTCATCGGCAACATCACGCTGATCAAGACGTTCTGCTCGGCCAAATCCATCCGCAACGTCCCCAACCTGTTCATGTCGAGCCTGGCGCTGGGGGACGTGTTGCTGCTGGTGACGTGCGCTCCGGTGGACGCCAGCCGCTACCTTTCAGACGAGTGGCTGTTCGGGAGAGCGGGCTGTAAGGTCATCCCCTT